GCCTCGCAGAAAGGAATTTCAGGAGTAGACAAGCAGTGAAGTAAATAGACTTTATTTGGGGGTTTTGGAGAGGAAGAGAATGAGAGAGTAATGTACTCAAGAGAGAACACGGGCTTTTACAAGGGCGGAGAGAGCCCCTACACACATCCTAGCATTAGACACGAAAGCATGAAAGTACACATCTCAAGAGGGGAGATGCGGGCGACACATGTGCTCTGCCCACGTATGCTTGGCCACGTGGGCACAAGCAGCACAAGGGCTCAGGCAGCATATGTGTGGCCTTCCTTTGTTCAAGGTGGCCTTTATAGGGTTTCTCCAACCTGCCCCTACATGGGGCTTCTTCCCAGGTAAAAGTCCGTTGCTAAGGAGGTTACCAGGGAGGATGGGAGTGGTGATGGTCTTCTTTGAAATTCCTTTCCTGGCCTTTTGTTCCTGCAGTAGCTTCTTTGAGTCTGTTGCTGGAGCCAGGTGAGGGTCTTATTAAGCCTTAGTTCCTGTTTTCCTATTTTCTGCAGGGTTGGCTTTTGTCATTGCTTCAGGAGGGGGCCTCCTCTGTCTACCTGCCTACATCAGTAATATTTACTCCTGGGCATTTGTCTTACTCAACTAAAGCCTCAATTGCCCTTAGTTCCTAGCACTCCAAAAGGAGGGTCACTATGGGAGACTTGGATGGACGCATTGGAAGCTGTCAGCTACACTGGCATCAAAACTAGACAGGCCAAGTGCCATAAAACTTATAATAAGTCAAGACCATGGTTAAGGACAGACTCTGTCATGACCCAAAAAGAAGTAATTGGATAAGGACCCTGTCAGGGTTAGGAAAGACTAACCTGGCCTGAGGATTGTGGTCTGGAATATATAGTGAGATGTCCCCAGGAGAGCCACCCTTTAAGCTTAAAGCATCTCTTGCTGTGTTCATACAAAATAACTAGCAATAGTATATTAATTAATAAGTAAATTTAAGATGACTATTTCATAAATACTGGCTAAGGAAAGGGGAAAATAATACACCTCAGATGGGACATCGCCCTTGGGTGGATCTCCGGGCTCTTTATCCTAGAGGAGCTTCCCCAGAAGGAAGGGCTTTACATATGTTGACTGTGCTACCTCACCTATGTGTAACTGCTACCCCTAACAGTGGGGAGAGGGGGAGATGGGAATGGGGGTGGGGCAGAGTAAGCATGGAATGGGGCAGAGTGAAATTGGATGGGCAGTGTGGTGTGTGAGTCTAGGATAAGAGGAGTGAGTCTGGAGTGGAGATGGCGACTGACCACCAACCAGCCTGGCTCATTTCCTCCTTTGTTTGCCCATCATCATCCACCGTCCGGGGTGGGGAGACCACCACATGCATGTGGCACATGCCCAGGCTTTCTTTTTTTTGGCTTTTCGGGTCACATCCGGCGATGCTCAGGGGTTACTCCTGGCTTTGCACTCAGGAATCACTCCTGGTGGTGCTCGGGGGACCACATGGGATGCTGGGAATCGAACCAGGGTCGGCTGCTTGCAAGGCAAACGCACTCTCCGCTGTGCTATTGTTCCAGCCCCAGGCCCAGGCTTTTTGAACATCCACAGGTGTTGCCTGCGTCTCCCCTCTTGAGATGTGTACTGGGACTCTCTCCCATTCTGGAGAAGCCCACTTTCTCCCTTGAGTATGTCATTCTCTCTCCCTTTACTCTCCCTCCTTCCCCTTCCTAAAATCCTTCAAATAAAATCTGTTTTTACTTTACTGCTCATCTGAAATTCCTTTATGTGAGTAGAATGAAGTACCTGGAAACTCTGGGGAAGGTCTAGGACTGACTTTCCTCTCCTGCAAAGGGCAATTCCTCACTCTGGCCTGAGTCTGTGGCTCCTGGAGGAATAGGCAGTGGGGATCAACTTCCTTGCCTAGAAGACCGAGTGAGTGGATGTCAGGTGTGGGTTGCCAGCCACCTGGTGGGGCTGGCAGGACTTGAGGTCTGAGCCATGCGGGGGCTCATTGCAGACCTTATCAGTCCTAGCCTTCCCAATTGGTCCCAGGGTGGCAGAGCCGGATCAGGAGAAAGTGACCATCTCCATCTCTGTCCTCCTTGCCTCACATAAGCCACCCATGGCCCACCAACTTCAAGAAGGTGAAGGCTTAGGAGTTTTAGCCTAAAAGGACTAGTTTGGCAAAGAAAAGACAAAGGTTCTGGAAAGGAAGTCAGAAGTCAGAGAGCAGTGACTGGAGCCTGAGCACATGAACCCGAAGAAGGTAGAGATGATAGAAAAATAAGAATTTATTTTATTATTTTTAGGGGGGGCAGAGAGTTAGAACAATGGGGAGTTCATTTGTCTTGCACGCGGCCAACCCAGGTTCAGTTCTGACACCTCAGAGGATCCCCTGAGCATGCCAGGCATGATCTCTGAATGCAGAACCAGGAGTAAGTCCTGACCATTGCCAGGTGTGGGCCCCAGGCAAAAACACGCAAATGAAAGTGCAAGCACTACAGCCCAGCATATGTGTGTGTGTGTGTGTGTGTGTGTGAGAAACTCCACCAACACACAAACATCATCATAAAACAACAATGAAGGGAAGAAAGGAGGAAGGAATAAGAAAGAAAGCACTGTAGCACTGTCCTCCCGTTCATCAATTTGCTCGAGTGGGCCCAGTAACGTCTCCGTTGTGAGACTTCTTGTTACTATGTTTGGCATACCGAATATGTCACATGTAGCTTGCCAGGTTTTGCTGTGCAGGCGAAGTACTCTCAGTAGCTTGCCAGGCTCTCCGAGAGGGGCGCAGGAATCGAACTCAGGTCAGCCAAGTTGGCCGCATGCAAGGCAAATGCCCTACCACAAGGGGCTGGAAAAATAGTCCAGTAGGCGGGATGCTTCCTTTTATTCTGCAGGCCCAGATTTGATCCCTAGCACCACATGTGGTTCCCTGCGCCCTGTCAGGAGTGACCTGGGTACCAGCCGGGAGTAAGCCATGAGCAACGCCGGGTGTGGGCCCCCCAAAAAAAAGGAGCCAACGCTACAGCCCTGTGTGTGCGTATGTATGTATGTGAGTGTGTACATGTCTCCTGCCATTACACAAACATTATAAACAAAACAGCAGGGGAGAGGTAGGAGGGAATAAAAAAGAAAAGGGGCAGAGAGATAGTACAAGGGTTAAGGGGGGGTGCTCACCCTTGGCAGAATCAGGTTCGATTCCTGAGGACCACCAGGAGAGATCCCTGAGTGCACTCCTAAGCATCACTCAATAACTGTGCATATGCTTTTGCAGGTATGAAACCCTGGATTTAATACCCTACAGTCCTCATCCCAATATAGGGATGGACAATTCTAATATTTGGAGCCAAAAAATAATTACAAATATTGTGCTGGTGAATTTGTGTACCTCAAGTTTATGCATATACCTATTGTTTTCAATATATTGTGTTTATATATGTTTCCAATATATGTGTTTCTATATGAATATAGAAACATGTTTCTATGAATGTATAGAAACACACAGGTATATAAATAAATTACGGTTCATATATACACAAAATGTATTGTTATCAAGAATTAGTCATCCATGACTCTCTAAGTGATTGTGAGGGTTTAGCTGGCAAGGGCAGGGAGTGGAGAGGGTGGATAAAAAAATCAAAGAAACAGGAACTGGAGTGATAACACAGTGGGTAGGGCGTTTTCCTTGCACACGGCCGACCCAGGTTTGATTCCCAGCATCCTATATGGTCCCCCGAGCACTTCCAGGAGTTATTTCTGATTGCATGAGCTAGGAGTAACCCCTGTGCAATGCCGGGTGTGACCCCAAAAGCAAAAAAAAATCGAAAAAATCATTCTTGCCTTCAAAAAGTTCATAGCAACTTCAATCTCTATGGGCGAGTCATTATAGTCATTCAGTCAGTCAGAGTAGTAATTGTTTTTGGCCACACCTGGCTGTACTTCAGCTCTACACTTGGAAGAGCTGCTTCACTTCTCCATATGTTCCTTAGTTAATTCTAAGACCCTTTGAAGTCCCTTCTACCTCCTCCATTGCAGGACTTGGTGACTTTAGCAAACCTTGCAGCACTGTTGCCTGCATTCCGCGGTACTGCCAATAAGTCATCCAACCAATACATATTTATTATAGCGCCTCACAGTGTATAGGTGTGTGGCAGACTAACCCTGTTCTCCTGAGAATGAAATAAACTGTTTCATTTTTGGCTTGGGTGTCCAGGATGTATGCACGCTTGGCAGAAAAGCCGGATGTGTGCCAGTCTGGCAGAAAGACAGGATGCGTGCTCACTTGGCAGAAAAACAGGACACAAGACACGGGTCGACCAATAAAAGAGTGTTTAGCTAAACATTTATTTTTTTAAGTTCCTATATCAATCAATCAATTGTTCTTCTATTTTTGACTTCTTTATCAATCAGTGGATTGCTTAGCTAACTGCTTTATTTTTTGGCTTGCTTGCTCGTTTAGCGTAGGGACGGATGTAAACTCTGCCCATAAAGAGCACTGTCCTGCAATCCTGGCTACTGCTGTCCTGTACAGGATTTGGCACAGAGAGAAAAGTAGCTGATCAGCTAATAATAAAGAATTCCTGACTCTTTGCTGAGTGCATCCCGCTCCTTGCTCCTATAACAGGTGCATTTAGAGAAGTAAGAAACTCTTGTGGGGTGCTCCGAGCTCCAGCACCAGCAGCGTCCGAGGTTCAGCAGGAATCTGGTTTCTAAGATTCCCGCATCCGCCCACGACGGGCATCACGGTTGCTAGGGAAACGAAAGGAAGATTCCCGACCGGAAGTGGTTCTGGAAAATTACCTTCCCCGGAAACTTGTGTCGGAAAACACTGCCGTCTTCCTGCATTTTTTTTCCCTAAACGTAACTCCGAGCGCTAGGGCCTCGCTCTCGCTGTCCCGGTGGAGGTCGATGCTCTCCCTCCCTCAGGACGGCGCCCCTCCATTCGTTCCCCTCCGGCAGTGGCAGGAGCAGAGCGGAACCAAATCGCTGTGAGCCTCGCTTCTCCCGGGAGCGCTTCTCGGGACGAACCGACCCCTGGGCGGCGTTGCCGTGGAGACGGAGCGAGCGGTGTGGATGCTGCGCCTCCGGGTCGCGGGGCCTCTGCCGTCTGTGTACCCTCCCGGGCTCCCAGAACCCACGCCAAGATGGTCAGTGGCCTTGAACTCTGCAGGGGCCGGCCTTGGGGATGAGAAGCAGCCGGGTCTTAGCAGGGTCACACGTAAAATTGCCAGCGGCGATGGGGTCACGGCTTCGGGCCCCTACGGCATCCCCGCGCCTGGGGTGGGTGCAAGGTGGGGAGGAGAAGCGCGTCCGAAGCCGCCGTCGGGTGGTCGCCCGTCCGTGGGGTCCACCGCTCCCGACCCGACCCGTGGGCTCTGGAGCTGCCCCCCTTGGGCTGGGAGGTGGGGTAGGTGGGTCGGGGGCTGGAGGGAGGGGATGGTGCTGCCCTTGTGGCTGTTTTCACAGATGCTCTCCAGGGCCAAGCCCGCCGTGGGCGGAGACCCCGCGCAGGGCGACAAGCGGAAGAAGAAAGGGGGCAAGATCCCCAAGCTGGAGGAGCTGCTGTCGCAGAGGGACTTCACGGGCGCGATCACCCTGCTGGAGGTGATGCCTGCGGCGCGGGGCAGGCGGGGAGAAAGCTCGCTGCTCGGGGAAGCTGGGGGTGTCCCCAGTAGATCTGGGAAGAAACGGGTTCCAGGCTCCTTAGTGAACTGGATATGTATGTGATTACTACTTTTGGGGCCAGCAGGTAGGGCTTTTCTGCCCTGCACGCGGCTGGCCTGAATCCGATCCCCAGCACCCCAGATAAAACCCCCAGAGGTGGGTCTGGAGCAATAGTACAATGGGCAGGGTATTTGCCTTGCACACGGCCGACCCTGGTTCGATTCCCAGCATCCCACATAAGGTTCCCCGAGCACCGCCAAGAGTAATTCCTGAGTGCATGAGCCAGGAGTAACCTCTGCGCATCGTAGGATGTGACCCCAAAAATAAAAAATAAAATAAAACCCCCAGAGAGCAGAGCTAGGAATATGCTCCGAGCACCTCTAGGTGTGCACCCCTAATAATAATGTAGCACGGTCCTCCGTGTTGTTTATCGATTTGCTCAGCGGGCACCAGTAATGTCTCACAACAAATTGTGAGACTTGTTGTTACTGTTTTTGGCATATCGAATACATCACGGGTAGCTTGCCAGGCTTTGCCATGCTGGAGGGATACTCTCGGTAGCTTGTCGGGCTCTCCAAGAGGGGTGGAGGAATCGAACCCGGGTCGGCCCGCTCGGCAGTGTGTAAGGCAAATGTCCTACCTGCTCTGCTATCACTCCAGCCCAATAATAATAATAATAATAATAATAATAAGATACTTTTTTCTCTAGGCACACTTTATTATGCCTAGTGTCATGGATGGTGACACCAGCATTTAATATGGTGTCAGTTCAAGTTTTAAAAATGGGCATTCAGGGACTAGAGCAATAGCACAGCAGGTAGGGCGTTTGCCTTGCATGCGGCTGACCCGGGTTCGATTCCCAGCATCCCATATGGTCCCCGAGCACCGCCAGGAGTGATTCCTGAGTGCAGAGCCAGGAGTAACCCCTGCACATCGGCGGGTGTGACCCAAAAAGCCAAAAAAAAAAAAAAAGGAATTTCAGGAAAAAAAAATGGGCATTCAGGGCTGGAGTGCTAGCACAGCGGGTAGGGTGTTGGCTTTGCATGTGGCTGACCCGGGTTCGATTCCCAGCATCCCATATGGTCCCCTGAGCACCGCCAGGAGTAATTTCTGAGTGCAGAGCCAGGAGTAACCCTTAAGCAGCACCAAGACCCAAAAAGCAAAAAAAAAAAAAGGGGGGGGTAATTAATTAATTAATTGCTTTTTGGGTCACACCTGCCAATGCACAGGGGTTACTCCTGGCTCTGCACTCCATATTTACTCCTGGTGGTGCTCGGGGGACCATATGGGATGCTGGGGATTGAACTCGAGTTGGCCACATGCTAGGCAAAATGCCCTACCCTCAGTGCTATCACTCCAGCCCCCAAAATGGCCATTTTAAAACGTGTCAATTCCTGACCATTTTATGTTTTTTTTTCGGGGGGGGGGGACGAGGGAAAATTGAAGCATTTAATTAGGGTTCTTCAGGGGAGAATTGAAAGCTGGTGTACTCAGCTTGCCTGATTTTCCACAGCAGTACAGCTACAGAAAAGCCAGTTACGTTTAATTTTACTGTGTGTGATAAAATTTCGGTCAAACAGAAGCTTTCCATGCCCCATGCATGTTGTCTAATGTATTGTGTAGCTTAAGCAGATGTATACCGCAGTGGCAGTAGTTCTCACCTTTTTTTGTGATAATGATGGTTTGGGGCCTGGGAAAGGGAGTAGGGTGGGGGGAGACGCACAGCTATACTCAAGGATTATTCCTGGCTCTGTGCTCTGGAGTGACCACTGGTGATGTTCAGGGGACCATATGTGGTACTGCAATTTGAATCTGGGTAGGCGGAAGCAAGGCAAGTGCCTCACCTGATGTACTATCTCTCCAGCAGATAGTGCAGCAGATAGGGCCCTTGCTTTGCCCTTGGTCATGTGGTCCCCCAAACCTGCCAGGACTGGACTCTGAATGCAGAGCCAGGGGTAAATCCTGAGCACCAATGGGTGTGTCCCTAAAACCAAAATAAATAAAATAAAAATAAAATGTGTATTTCTAGCCTGCTCTAGGTACTCAATCTTATTCCTTTTTTTTCTTCCCTTGGGTTTTGGGCAACACCCTGCGGTGTTCCATCATATCCTGTCTTTGTGCTCAGGGAGTACTTCTGGTTAACTTGGGGGACCATATGCGATGTTGGGGATCAAACTCAGGTTGGCCCCTAGGGCTGGAGCGATAGCACAGCAGGTAGGGTGTTTCCCTTGCACGTGGCCGACCCGGGTTCAATTCTCAGCATCCCATATGGTCCCCCAAGCACTGCCAGGAGTAACCCCTGTGCAATGCTGGGTGTGACCCAAAAAGAAAAAAACAAAACAAAACTCAAAAACAACAAAAAACAACCCGTGCAAGGCAACCTCCTTGCTGTCCTAATACTCGGGCCCCTCACTCTTTCCCTTTGCCCCACTATATGCATACAGAGCATCCACCCTCGCTCCTGGAGCTCTGCTCCAGCCCCAGATCCTTTATTCTCTATGGAATGAGCCTGCAGTGGTATCAGACAAGAGGCATTTTAGGCAAGTAGCCTAAGCGCTTCTGATGTAGATTGTTCCAGGGGCACTGCACTTGGAGAAACTTCTTGTTTTTGTTCTGTTTGGGGGTCGTACTTGGCAGTGCTTAGGGTTTGCCCTGGCTCTGTGCTCAGGGATCACTCCTGGCAGTGCTCTGGGGACCATCTTAAGTGCAGGGGATCAGACCCAGGTTGGCCACATGCCAGGCAAACAACCTGCCCGCTGTCCTACTGTTCTGACTCCTGGGAGAAGCTGTTTTGTGTGATGCCTTGTTAAAAGAGGAGGAAGGGGAATCTCCTGCTTTGATGGCAAAGCTGGCTGTGTGTACTCACATCATTTCTCCAAAGCTCAGGTTCATGCTATGTTAAACAAAAGGATTACTGTGCCCAGGTTTTCACATTTGTTTGTTTGTTTTTAATGGAATTTGAACCTGAAGTTTAAGCGTCATGTCGGAGAACAAGAAGAAGATACCAATTTGTGGATTGGATACTGTGCCTTTCACCTCGGTGACTACAAGAGAGCTTTAGAGGTCAGTTTTTTTTTTAAGTTTTAAAGAAATGCTTGGAAATTAAATTTTGTCTGTTATTAAACTTCGTATGATGATCATAATGCTCCTGGTAAATTTCCCACATCATAGAAGGGAATGAAGAGAAGAGACATAAAGCCATCTTGTCTGCCCTCTGCAATCCTGCCTTTGTCAGGAGAGGCAACCGTTGGCTGTGTCTGAATGTATTGCTCCTGAGATCTCTGTGTCGCATGTACGTATGTACCCTGTTCACTTGGTAGCTTTAAAACACCTGGTTTTTTTTTTTTTGTCTATTTTTTTCCTTTTTTTTTTTTTCTTTTTGGGTCACACCTGGCAATGCTCAGGGGCTACTCCTGTCTCTGCACTCAGTAATTACTCCTGGCAGTGCTCGGGTGACCATACGGGATGCCGGGGATCTAACTCAGGTTGGCTGTATGCAAGGCAAACGCCCTCCCCGCTGTACTATCGCTCCACCTGTTGATGAGATTTACACACATGTCAGCACTAGCTCCTTTGAGGGTCCACAGCCTGCGGTGCTGAGGAGACCCAGTGGCGCTGAGCACTGAGACCAGCCAGGGCCTGCCCACGTAAGGAATGTGCACATCTGTGAGCCAGTGTTGGCCAGAGACCCCTGAGGTGGACAGCCCTGCCAGGGTAGACCTGCGCTTCACTGCAGTGTTTATTTAACCGCACAGGGGAAGAAGAATTGAGGAGCTCAGACCCTGCAGGTGTGAAACTGCGCCATCTCAGTGAGGAACCCTTGTCCATCCAAGCTGCTGCAGCCACTGACGAGACCACTGCTTTCCCTCCATTTCAGGAATACGAAAATGCTGCCAAAGATGACAATTGCAACCCCGATGTCTGGGTGAACCTGGCCTGCACCTACTTTTTTCTTGGGATGTATAAACAAGCAGAAGTAGCTGGATTTAGAGGTACGTAGGCCCTTTCAGTAGCTGATGTTGGGGCCAGAGTGATATGAGAGAAGTGAGGCACTTGGCCTTGCATGCAGCTGACCTGTTTCAAATCCCCTACAATACCTCAAGGGTCACTCCCGAGCCAGGAATAGCCCCTGAGCACTAGGGATTGTGAACAAAAAACAAACGTGATTTCAAGGCTACCCATTTCCTCAACTGTTACCTGTCCATAAAGTTCTGTATTGCTCTTTCAAATTGGAATGGCAATATAATTGAATAGAGTATCAGTAGTATCAGTGATGCTCAGGGCTTGCTCCTGGCTCTATGCTCAGGGATCATTCCTGAGGTACTCAAGGGACCATATGCAGTTCCAGGGATCAAACCTGGGTCGGCTGTGTGCAGTGCAAGTGCCCTACCTGCTGTCCTATTGCTCTGGCCCCTGAGGAAAGTATTCTTGCTGAGGTGTACATTTTGTTGAGTTTTTGTGTATATTCCTCCATTCTCTGGCTCATAGAGTGTCATTTGCTAGATGTGCTGTGAGCTTACAGGCTTTGCTTTGTAAGTTCCTTTTTTGATTTTGCTGCTTTGATTACTCTGTGTCTGTCCTTCACTTTTGTCATTTGGATTATAATGTCTTAGAGTTTTTCTCTTTGGGTCTATTTTTGCTGGGATCCTTTGGGCCTCTTGGGTCTTAATGCCTGCACTTCTCAACTCTGGGAAATTCTTACCTATAATTTTTTTAATAGATAAAATTTAAAACGGGGTGGAGCATGGATCATTCCTAGTGGTGTTCAGGGGTCTGTATGGAGTGCTGAGGAATCAAACCCAGGTCGGGGACCTGCAAGAAAAGAGGCTTAGCTGCTGTACTCTCTCTGCAGCCACCACGTTAGGATTTTGTTTGTGGAGAGGAGCTCTGGCAAGACCAGTAGCGGAATGAGAGCTGGCCTGTGTCCGGGCTGGAGGTCTTTGTCTCCGGGCAAGCTGCTGACAGCTCCGTGAGGGTCGCTGCGTCATCTCCTGCCAGAATGCTGTGCTGTGGTGGCGGGAAAGCAGTGAGACCGGATGGGTCAAGAGTGGCTGCAGGGCACTTCTGTGCTTGGTGCTGCTGCTGCCGCTGTGTGGGTGGCCGGGCGGAAACAGCAGGAGGATGTGGGAAGCTCTCCGAGTCTCCTGGCCTTCCTGCAGTGGATGGAGGTGATTGTGTCCATTAATAAGCAATTTGACTTCTTTTATTAGCTCCCAAAAGCCGGCTTCAAAACCGCCTTCTCTTCCACTTGGCTCACAAGGTATGTTAAGTTCTCATTTCCCCAATTTTTGGTGGCAGGGAGGGACTGGTTGGGTGGGGGGGGGGATGTCGGAGCCACACCCAGTGCTCAAGTACTCTTTGCTCAGTGCTCAGGGATCACTTCTGGGGGTCCCAGGGAACCATAGGTCCAGAGCCCTACCTGCTCTCCTATTGCTCTGGCTTTCTTCATTCCTTTCTTTCTTCATTTTTTATTTGTTCTTCAGGACACATCTGGTGGTGCTCAGGCTTACTCCTTGCTCTTTACTCAAGATTCAGTCTTGGTGGGACTTGGGACCATTTGGGGTCCTGGGGATGCAACCCAGGTCAGCTGCATGTAAGGCAAAGCCCCGCCAGCTCTACTATCTCTCGGCCGCTGCTGGATTTCTTCCTTCCTTTTCTTGGGCACACACCCAGCAGTGCTCTGGGTCACTTCTGGTTCTGTTCTCTGAGGTCATTCCTGGTGGGCCCAGGGATCAAACCCTGGCATGCAGAGTATGCGCCCTACCCGCTGTCCTATCTCTGGGGCCCCAGTTTTCCCCTTTTTGTTGCCCTCCCCCCCAATCCCTTTGTCAGTGCACGTGTGCCTGGCCATCGTGCCGGCACGGTGCAGATGGGGTGCTGGCTAGAGTCACACATCAGGTTGCAGTGCTCACTGAGCAGTCCTCAGATCATGATGGGGGAGCTGGCCAGGGCTTCTCACACAGTGCTTTGCCTGAGGCCACCTCCCGCTCTGCTCCTGCGCTTCAGTCAGAAAGCCTCCTTTCCCTGGTGGGGCTTGCCAGGGTTTGAGCACTTTGTGCTTACACAAAGCACACTGGTGTGACCGGAGATCTCTCTGGTGTCAGGGGTCACAGAGGGCAGAGCTGCCTGGTCGTGCCTCTGGGGACTTGAACTCTTGACCATCACTCCCCACGCATGCGCTAAGCTCTGCACGATTCCTCAGGGCCCCGTTTTCTTTCAGATCTGAAGGAGAAACCAATAGAACAGGAGCTAAGGGAATAGAACACAGAGACAAATAGCTGATGGAGAAGGTAGAGCTCTATAATAAGAAAGGTGGGACAAGGGTTAAAGCGTTTGGCCTGGGGCTGGAGCTATAGTACAGTGAGTAGGGCATATACCGTGCACCAGCCGAAAAGGTTTCCAGCATCCCATATGGTTCCCTGAGCACCGCCGGGGGTAATTCCTGAGTGCAGAGCCAGGAGTAACCCCTGAGCATTAATGGGTGTGACCCAAAAAGGAAAGAAAAAACAAAAACGTTTGCCCTGCATGGAGCTGGCCCAGGTTCAACCCTCAGCTCCCCGTATGGTCCCCTAAGCCCCTCCAAGAGTGATTCCTGAGTACAGAGCCAGGAGTAAGCCCTGAGCTCTGCCAGGGGTGCCCCCTACAAAAACTGATAGAGTGTAATCTTTACTAAGTGTAATCTGCAAATGTCTTTATTTATTTATTTACAATTTTAGTTTAATGATGAGAAGAAACTAATGAATTTCCACCAGAATCTTCAGGATATCACAGAAGATCAGCTGAGTTTGGCTTCCATTCACTATATGCGATCTCACTACCAGGAGGCTATTGATATTTATAAGCGGATCTTGCTGGATAACAGGTCTGTGTTCTTACCCCGCCGAGGATGGTTTCTGTTGGAGGAGGTTCTTCTATGGCGAGTTTGGCTCTCGTATCCCAGAGTGCAGATCTGTTGGGCTGGTAAGCCAGCCAGACTGAGACGGCCCCTGCCCGGAGCTGGGGGGGCTTCACTTCTCCACTCCCCACCCCTTTTCACTCAAGAAATACAGTGTAGGTGAGGCCAGAAATACCTTGGATTCATAATGTGTTTGATTTTGAATTTTTTTTTTTTTTTTTTGCTTTTTGGGTCACACCCGGTGATACACAGGGTGTGTACACACAGGAATTACTCCTGGAGGTGCTCAGGGGACCATATGGGATGCTGGGAATCGAACCCAGGTTGGCCACGTGCAAAGCAAACGCCCTACTCGATGTGCTATTGCTCCAGCCCCTTGAATTTTTGATTGTTAAACATTCAAAGAGCTTTTACTGTTGTCAAAGTTTTGCGATACCCGTATTCTGTTCTGTGCACTGTCTAAAAGTTCAGGTCCAAATCAGTGTTTCTCTACCTTCATATCAGTATTGCCCCCTTAGTAAGTCATGACAGACTGTCTTTCTTCATCCATCACAGAAGAACTGTATATCCATTTATCTGTGCATATATGCCTAAGCTTTCTTTACAAAATGAATATGATCCCGCTGCCAGCCAACACCCCACTGAAACAATTTGTGCCCTTTTAGAGGTGGCAGTATGCTTGTTAAAAATGCTGGTGTCAGGGGCCAGAAAGATGGTACAGTAGGTAGGGCATTTGCCTTGCATGTGGCCAACCCAAGTTTGATCTCTGGCACCCTGTATGGTACCCCGAGCCCTGTCAAGAGTGATCCCTGAGCACAGAGGTAGGAGTAAGCTCTGAACACTGCCAGGTGTTGCCCCCAAAGCAAAAAACCATTGTCTATTAGAGGACTAGAGAGATAATATAGCAGGGAAGACACTTTACCTGCATCTGTTCAACCCAGGTTTGATCCCTGGGACCTCATATGGTCTCCCAACCCCTCAAGGAGTGGTCCCTGAGCACAGAGCCAGGAGTAAGACCTGAGCATAACTGAGTGTGCCCTCTCCCAAAAAACCACACAAAAATCACAGTCTGTGGGGTGGGGAAATAGTCCAGGGGTAAGGCACTTGCCTTGTACATGGCTGATCCCAGTTTAATTCCTACCACTGCACATGGTCCCCTAAGCTCTGCTAGAAATGATCCCTGAGCGCAGAGCCAGGAGTTACCCTTGGGTGGTCCAGCAACCAACCCTGTCTCCCAAAAAGCATGATCTAGATATAGCAACACCAGTATTGAAGTTAGTTATATGAAACTTACTGACTAAGGAATATACAAACCAAAGAAGTAACTTTCCAACATTGTCACTGATCCCTTGTCCTCTGCCACGTCCACAGAACTGCCCACCCGCTCTCCCACTTTCTTTCTCCGTGATTTGCTTTACTGTGCAGCCTCTCACTTGCCCATCCTCAGTCACAGTCTGCCCATCTTCTTGACCCTCCTTTGTTCCCTGCTTGCCTACACGCTCGTTACATCCTGGGCTTTTCTCTCTAGCGTGAAACCCACAAGTTGAACTTTCCCTCTCCCCTCAAGTCTTGGTTAACCCCACCGAAACATAACCATACAAAAAGAAATCACTGCATTGATTCCATCTTGTCTTCAAAAGGCAGTCCTCTTCTCCGCCTTGCTGTCCATTTGGGTCTGGGTAGGGGAAGTTGCAGTGCTTCTAACGCCCTCAGCGGCGACCTGCCTGTTTCCTCCCACAGGGAGTACCTCGCGCTCAATGTCTACGTGGCTCTGTGTTACTACAAACTGGACTACTATGACGTGTCACAGGAAGTTCTGGCCGTCTACCTGCAGCAGATCCCTGACAGTACCATCGCGCTCAATCTAAAGGCCTGTAATCATTTCCGCCTTTACAACGGCAAAGAAGCTGAGGTAGTGATGGAAGTGTGTATGGTTTTTATTTTATTTTTTAATTTAATTTAATTTTATTTGTGTGTGCGGTTTTTAATTGGGAAATATTAGTCCTAATTCCCCCCCCCACCCAAGATTGTTGCGCTTTTATTGCTTCCTTGCAAAAAGTTAAAGTGACTTTTAGTATTTGTTTATTCTACAAAGATGTCATTTGGGCTGGGAGCAGTAGTACAGCAGGTAGGGTGCTTGCCTTGCATACAGTCAACCAGGGTTCAAACCCCAAAACCCCATATGGTCCCCTGAGCCCTCCAGAAGTGGTCCCTGAACAGAGTCAGGAGTAAGCCTTGAGCATAGCTGCGTGTGACCCAGAAAGTAAAACAAAACACAGTAAAAGTCAGCTGGGATCCAAATAGGGGTTGCAGTGAACCTATAGATCAGTTTGGGAATTATTGAATAGTAGCAAAATGTAAAATGATGCAACTTTTTAAGTAAAGCAAAATAGTTTTTATTGAAATAAAGGTGAGGGATGGGCCAGAGTGTGGGCCGGCCAGAATGATAGCACAGTGGGTAGGGCGCTTGCCTCGCACATGGCTGACCCAGGTTCAATCCCCACATCCCATGTGGTCTCCTGAGCCCTTCCAGGGGTGATCTGTAAGTGTAGAGCCAGGGCTAACCCATGATCACTGCTGGACATGGCCCCAACAACAATAACAACAAAAAGCAAGATGTAAGGGGGAAGAAAAAGAGGAATTTGTGTTCAAGAACAGGGAATTGGAACTGCAAACCGATGCTGTGTCTTTAGAAACCGCAGTAGATCCTCTGATTAACTATAGAATTATATAGAACCCGTCATTTCCACTCCACAGTATCTACCCGAGACATGGAAATCTTTTTATAAGGTTTTCCCACATTTAGGAATTCTTTTTCATTTGTCTGGCTTTGGGGACACACCCGGCTGTACTCAGGTCCTACTCCTGGCCTCTGCCAGGGATCACTCTCAGCAGACTCAGGGGGACCTTGTGAGATGTTGGGGATCGAACCAGAGTCAGCAAGGCAAGCGATAGTACAGCAGTCTGCTATTGCTTCAGCCCTGATTTAGGAATTCCTTAACCTTTTTAACAATGCTTTACAGTTTTGAGAGGTTATAATTTTTGTAGTTTAAATTTAAACTCAGAATAATTTTATTCTGAATATCTCATTATTCTTAACAGGATAAGTGTAACTGTTTCCCTAGTTTCATTTTCAGATTGCCCGTTGCAAATGAACAGAAATGCTGTTGGCTTTCACATACTGATTTTGTGTCCTCCTTCCGGGGCCCATGCCAAGCCAGGTTCACTGACCCTGGGTGCTGTGCTGGCATCGGGCATTTACACCTGCAGATTCTTGAACACCACACAGGCCTGCTGGGCCTCAGAGCCACGACGCCAGGGTGTAGGGGGAGGGGCAGGGAGTTAGTGTCGCTCAGGACCATGTATACCAGGGGCCACCCCAGCAGGATAGGGGGCCTTTGGGACTACAACCAGCGCTGCTTGAGGACCATGTGATACTGGGGATCGCATCAGGGCTGGGCACATGGAAAACATGCGTCCTAGCCCCTATGCTCCTGGGGAGTCCATGAGGACACGATGCTGCGGGCTGGTGTGTGATGCCTCTGTGAGGAAGCTCCAGCCGGCCCAGGACCAAAGCCGTCCTTAGAGGCCACGGCAGAATGTTCCGGGGATCCCACACACCCAGACAGAGGGTCTCAACCTTGACCCAGCACATGGTGGATGGTGTCAAACACTGTTCATAATTCACTGAAACTGGGCAGCCAGGGAGGAATGGAGGGAAGGGGAGAAGGGGCAGAAGCAGAAACCAACTTTGCCTGGGGCGCTCCTTGGTCTCTCTTACTTCTCAGACCTCCACGCCCAGCTACCCCCGTGCCCAGACCAACAATGTCCTTCCATTCTAGACTGAGTTTGCTGAGATTATTTTAATGACCAGATGCTGATTTTTTTAATAATTTATTTATTGAATTATCGTGAGAACAGTTACAAAGCTTTCAGGTTTAAGTCTTGGTCAAACACCCATCCCCTCAGTGCACATCTTCCAACACCAAGAACCCCAATATACCCCCATCCTGACTGTGAGGCAGATGATTTCCACTTAACTCTCTCTCTACTTTGATTATATTCATTATTTTGACAAAAGATGCACCATTATTATTTAGAATTTCCCCCCAACAGTCAGACCTGCTGAAAAGGCATCGGGAAATAATTTGTTTTTTATTGCTTATTATGATGTCGCGGCTGTGCAAGTTTGGATTTCTGATATTTTACTAATTAAGTCTGGAGGGATTTCTGCCAAAAGCCACATAGTTCTGAGATTGGTTTGTGTGGCTCTGGGTCCATGGCCATGCCAGAGAGCCGCTCTTGGGGGGCAACTTGTGGTCTTGGTGGGGTAGGAAGGATGTGCTGGTTCTGCCTCCCATCCCATGAGGCTGGAGTTGCCCTGTCACTGGTAGCTCATACCTGACTGTCCAATAGGCTCTGAGGCGGCAGCCACCATGCGGGGGGGTGGGGAGCAGGTGGAAGAGACAGACACCCTTTCCCTCATAGGGGAGCACAGCATCGTAGCTTAATGCATAGTCAATTCACATTCCTGCCAAAAGCTGCTGGGTTCTGAATTAGGTCCATCTGCCTCTGGGGCCATGGCGATGTCAGAGAGCCGCTCTTGGGGGGGGGGGGGCAACTCATGGTCTCAGCGGGGCAGGAAGGACGTGCCTGTTCTGCCCCCCATCCCATGAGGCAGCAGTTGCCCCGTCACCGCCAGCTCATACCTGGCTGTCCAATAGGGTCTGAGGCGGCGGCCACTGCATTGCTGGGGCAGATACTGATTTTTTTTTTAAGTGTCATATTCTGCATCTATTGAAATAACCCTAGAAATGTATTATTGTTGCAGAAAACACTGAAATACTTTGCTTTTATCAGTGTCAGCTTTACAATGTTAGAGTGAACGCAAATTCACTGCCATTGATTATTTTACTTATTACAGAGTTCAGTTAGTTAATACTCCGGTGAAGACTTTTACATTTAGGGGTTGAAGTGATAGTGGGTAGAGTGCTTGCCTTGCATGTGGCTCATGCTGGTTCCACCCTCAGCACCATACATGGGTCCCCAAGCATTGTCCAAAGTCATTCCTGAGCATAGAGTTGGGAATAACTCCTGAGCAATCCAACCGTAACCCCTGTAAAAATCAAAGTTGATGATGTAGGCTCATCTTCCCAAGGCTTTGTCCATGGTTAGCCAGGAGATGAGAGATAAAAGGATTGTTGAGCAGACATATTTTCCCATATAGGAGCAGGTAGAGTGAGTTTGACATGGTCAGTGAAAAGCTTGGTTATCTGCTGACAAATAGAAAAAAGGAGAGAAGTCTCATTACTTTCACCGTGATCTGTTGGACGGGTTGGAAAGCCTAGTTAATGGGAAAGGCCGAGGAAGCAAGAGAATACAGAAGAGACCTTAGATGTGATAAAATAGAGGGGGGGAGATATCTTACTGTGTTATATTAAGGATATTTAGCAGTTGCATGAGAACTCAGGATACGAGTGGAATATCAGATTGCAGAAGTAACCTGTTGTTAGAAGTGGAACTCCTGGATCAGAGAGAATGTGGAGGGGTTATGGAACTTTCCTTATGTGAACAACACAAGTTTGATCCCCAGTTCTGTGTATAGGTCCCCCAAGCAACGCCAGGGGTTTCTCCTCAGCACAGAGCTAGGAGTAGCTCCTGAGTAAAGCCAGGTGTGGCCCAAACCTGTCCCATTAAAAAAAGCTATTTCCTTTTTTATGGGGGGTGGGGCATATCCAGTGATGCTCAGGGGTTACTCCCCCTGCTCTTCACTCAGGAATTGCTCCTGGTGGTGGATGGGGGGCCATATGGAAACAAGGGATCAAACTGGGATTGGCCACATGCAAGGCAGGAACCCCACCTGCTGTCTTAAGATTTTTTTCTTTGAAGGATCGGACTTCTTGTCACTGGGAGAACTCTTGGAGTCTTGGGATTAGCTAATTTCAAATTTCCTGCCTAGTGTAATTTACTGAACTTTTATAAGTCTCAACATTATGGTCTGTGAAATGAGGATAATGATAGTTACACTGGCATTTTCCTTAAGGAATCTGAAGAACAAGTGAGAAGGACATAGACCTCTTCTGTAAAGCCTCGTGCCTGTGTGTGGTATCAGAGCCAGACACTGGTCATTTTCGCGTATGTTTTCCCTTTTCAATTTCAGGCAGAACTCAAGAGTTTGATGGACAATGCTTCCTCTTCCTTTGAGTTTGCCAAAGAGCTCATCAAGCACAATCTGGTGAGTAACGGCTGGTTCATAACGCTCGATAGCTCAGACAGCTTTATACTTTGGCATCTGTATGTGCTGCACTAGGGTCAACACCAGAGGTCTAGTTTCCGTCCATCCCTAGCCAGAGTCTGCCCAGACCTGACTCACCCGCCAGCCCCCTTCCTTCTTTCAGTTTTTCTATCCCAAATGACGTGGGTATGTTGCAGAAAGATTAAGGGAAGGAGACAGCTCAGAAAATATTTCTCTTTGTAAATTCCTCCTTGCTGCCAAGGCCCTTCTCTGAAGGAAACCCTTGTTTGGGAGGACAGTCCTGTACCTAGAACGTTCACAAGAGATGTAGGCAGATCCACGTTTGTTTCGTTGACAAAGACACAAGAACATCTTGTGGGTTAAACTAACTGGGAAGGTTTTCTGGTCAGAGCAGAGCTGGGCCAGCCTTGGATGTGACTGAGAGGGAGTTCAGGGTCACTGGGATGGCAGAAAGGTGGCAGGTGAGCACTGTGGCTCACAGGGAGAGCGCGCTAGCTCCGGGGGCAGAGGGATGTGAGACCTGGCACTTTGCTGTGAGGGAGGGCGATGTGGAAAAGCACCCGAGGCTTCATGTGTGGCTTCACATGAAGTGGGCACCACAAAAAGCCTAGTTTCTACTGGTGGCGGAATGGCTGCTCTCCACTCAGGCACCGGGACATGGCGCAGTGATTTAATGTGAGTGAGTCTCCGTCCCCTTCTCTGAAAATGCCAGTTATATGGGCTAGAGCGATAGTAAAGGGGAGTGCACTCGCCTTTCTGGCAGCCTACCTCTCTTTTCCCCTCTCTCTTTCATACTCTGTCCCTTTCTTCAGAGCCGGCTCTTCTGAACACACGCTGAAACCAAAACTGCTTTAGATTCTGTGTACCCCTGCCTCTCCGATAGCTGCTTGCTCACTTAATACTATTTATTATTTTTTGGCACTGTCTTATAAAATAATCCTGTCCCTTCTCTAATTCGATCCTCTATCACACATAGAGTTTCCTTTGACTGTTTTCTGTCACGAGTTTCTGCCTTAGACATCTCCCCTCTGATCTAGCTTCTAAATTAGAACCAGCTTGGATTTTGTGGAGATTGACTTGTTAGAAGTCTAGAAATGAAGTTCAAGAGATCAAGACTAAACAGTAGGTTTAGGAGTTATCATAAAAGCGATTGCCAACTTCTTGACAACGAAATACGGAAGAGAAGATTAACCAGAAAACAGTGCCTGTGAATTTAAGGGGATGGTGGAGAGAGAATAAGCCAGACCAGAAAGAGTGCCTGGACAATCTAATATCACTGACAATATCTTTTCAGCAGGGAGGATTTTTTTTTTAAGTAATGATACATGTGACCCACTCCTAGAGATTCTTACTGAATCAGGCTTAGCAAAGCTTCACAGTTGGATCTAATATGCAGCCAGAGCCCAAATCTACCGTATGTATATGTGATAAACAATATTGGCACGAGTAACTAGCCTAATAGCTAGTAATTCGGGACTGTTCTTGGAGACTGGGATTTAACAAAGTGAGAGCCAGAGAGGTAACAGGGTCAGGCTAAGGCCTTGGATGCTGTGGACAGGTGCTCTGCACCGCATGGCCTCTCATTACCACTAGAGGGCATCACTGAGCACGGGGCCAAGAGTAGCGCCTGCATTGGGCCCAGAAGCACAAAAGGGAAAATGAGGGAACCACACAGCCGATCCATGTGTGATCACTGGCATCCCATACGGTACCCTGAGCTGCCATGCCAAGAGTGATCCCTGAGCACACTGTCAGGAGTAATCCCTGGACGCTGCCAGGTGTGGCCCAAAAACAAACAAAGGTTTTCCTCTTTTTTTCTGGTGTAATAATATATGTATTTTTCCCATTAACATATTTTGTTTCTGTTTTGGGACTACCTCTGGCGATGCAGGGTTTACTCCTGGCTCTGCACTCAGGAATTACTCCTGGGGACCATATGGGATGCAGGGGCTAGAACCCAGGTAGGCTGCAGGGAGGGCAAGTGCCCTACCCACTTGCCCTATCCAGATCCAGTTTTGATAGTTTAAAAGAAAAGGAGGGACTGGAGCCATAGCACAGTGGGTAGGGCGTTTGCCTTGCATGCAGCTGACCCGGGTTCGATTCCCAGTTCGATCCCGTATGGTCCCCTCAGCACCGCCAGGAGTAACTCCTGAGTGCATGAGCCGGGAGTAACCCCTGAGCATCGTCGGGGGTGACCCAAAAAGCAAAAAAAAAAAAAAAAAAATGATGAAAAGCATTGAGACATTATAAATGAGTACTAAGAACATAGACTTTTGTTGTCAGATTTGAGTGTTAAAATCAAGTTGTGCCCTGTATTATCTTTTTTTTCCCTTAATTGACTGTGCTCAGGGCTCAATCTTGACTCTGCGCTCAGAGATCACTCCTTGAGGACTCAGGGGCCATATGGGGGTGCCGGGGATCAAACCTTGGTCAGCCACGTGCAACACAAGCACCTTCCCTGCTGTTCCTGCCAGTCCATAAACTAGTCCAGACACACAGTCAAGAGTCTGAGTGGAATGTATTTTAAGAGAGCAAGCATTCCTCCTTGTGTTTAAAGTTAAGAAGTAGAAATAGAACCTAGGTGTTAGGACACAGTTTAAGTCTCGTACAAACTCAGAAGATTTGTCAGGGGATACATCAAACTTTCTTGTCCCGCAGCGAAGCAAAGCAAAACCTTCTCTGGGGCCAGAATGATAATACAGTGGGTAGGGCACTTGTCTTGCACATGACTGGCCCAGGTTTGGTGCCCGACATTCCGTATGGTTCCCTGAGCATCACGAGGAGTGATTCCTGAGTGCAGAGCCAGGAGTAACCCTGAGCATCACCAAGAGTGGTCTAAAAACAAACAAAATGAAACTAAACCTCCCCCAAAAGTTTTTGGCCGAGGTTGTCCAGAGTTCTCAGGAAGGGGAAAAAGCAAAGAGAAAAATCCCTGTGTTCTGTTTCTTAAGCCTAATACACTGTAGAGAGGTCTTTCAGTACGGTTCCGATTACTTATACAGAGCATGCTTCAGAGGTGTGTTCATCCTTTCCAGGAATCCCTGAGTGCCGACTCTACCAATTATAATTCTAGAGGCTGAGAATGGAGAGTTAACTTAGTTGGCTGTTATGGAGCTTACATTCTGGTGGGGTAAGATAAAAAGGAGCGCATAAAATGAAGGGATCGGTGGTATGAACGCAAAGAAAGGAGGCCCGGACAGAGATTGATAGCAGAGATTGGCTTTAAGTAGAGTAGAAAAAGAAATAGTTCCGATACAACAGGGTTCTTAAATAGAAGGACGAAGACTAGAGGGGAGGGGGAAGACGAGAAATGGCTAGAAGCATTGGCATTAGACCGGCAGGACTCAGCTGGTGTCCATCGGCGTTCCCAGGCCTGCTGTGTGTGGTGTGCTTTTTTACGATTCCCGCAGCTATTTTAGCTGGGTCTGTGTCCTGGCTCTCGGTGGCAGCTCCTTAGACATTTCCAGCAGTAAGTATAGCTGCACTCAGGGTGCTAGTAACCAGCTTCTCTGTCTCTAGGTGGTTTTTCGAGGCGGTAAAGGCGCTTTGCAGGTTTTGCCGCCCCTGGTTGACGTCATTCCTGAAGCTCGGCTCAACTTGGTCATTTACTACCTTCGTCAAGGTCAGAATTTGTCTTGCTCTTCCTATACTGTAAAATTTTATTTATTTATTTTTGTTTTTTGGGTCACACCAGGCAATGCACAGGGCTTACTCCTGACTTTGCACTCAGTAATTACTCCTTGCGGTACTTGGGACCATATGGGATGCTGGGAATCGAATCCGGGTCGGCTGCATGCAAGGCAAACGCCCTATCCGTTGTGATATCACTTCAGCCCTATACTGTAGAATCTTATAACATTCAATCTCTTGAATGATTTACTGAATTTTAAAAATCTATGATACTTCTAAAAATATATTTGTAACAGGTTTATAGGACAGAACAATTTTATGATGCTTATTAATTATATTTTCTCCTTGTTGCTTCCAAGCTCCTTTTTCTTTTTTTTTTCAACTCTTATTTTTACGTCCTCTGAGCAGGTGATTTTGGTTTTCTTACTCCCCTGTGAGTTGAATTCTTTTTCAGTGTCTGCCTTGGACACATCTATCTGTTTCCTATTCTGGAGAGAATAACTAGTAGACACCAAGTACATAAAGTACAAGAGTAGCTTGTCTTTTATTTTTGTTTTTTGTTTGTTTGTTTATTTTTTGTTTTTTGGGTCACACCCGGCAATGCTCAGAGGTTACTCCTGGCTAATGCACTCAGGAATTGCTCCTGGCGGTGCTCGGGGGACCATATGGGATGCTGGGAATCGAACCTGGGTTGGCCATGTTGGCTGGGTGCAAGGCAAACGCCCTACTCGATATGCTATCGCTCCAGCCCCTTATTTTTATTATTAACTATGTATGCCTTTCTGACTCTCATTTCTCTTGGCCTCTTTCTTATAAGTCAACAGAATGTGGCCCTGAATTGCCCCTGAAGAACACTAAAATGGCTGGACTCTTGCCTAAAGTGGGCTTTCATTTGACAGGGACTGTTGGTGGTGGCACTCTTCATGAACTCAGAGTCAAAATGTGGAACTTTTTATTTTTTTATTGCAGAAATGGCCTAAATAAAAACACAGGAGCCAGAGGGGCTCTGAGAGCTAGTGTACATGCTTTGAATACAGGAGGGCCATGTTCGATCCCCAGCATCATACTCTGCGGGCCCCAGAGCTCTACCAAGCACTCCAGAATCCCTCAGTGCAGGCAGCTGAAGCTCAGAGGCAACCAAAAAGAGCAAATCCCCTGCTTCATGTCGTTTTGCTCTTACATACCTACTAAAGATGCTAAGCATGACCTTCTATGTGTGTGTATGCATATATATATATATATATATCCTTTCTCTGTGTGATTGTATGTGTGTATATCTTAGCTCCTTATAAATGAATTGGGGTAGGAGTGGAGTTTGGATCAAACCCTGTTGTACCCAGGGATCATCCTGGGCTTGGGGGACCATTTGAGGTACCTGGGATCGAACCCAGGTAAGCCACAGATGAAGCAAGCTCTTTAACTTCTGTACTATCTCTCCAGTCCATTAGCTCTTCCCCCCCGTCCCCTTTTTTTCAGGTTTGTTTTTTTCTTTTGGGTCACACCTGGAGATGCACAGGGGTTACTCCTGGCTCTGCACTCAGGAATTAACTCCTGGCGGTGCTCAGGGGGCTATAATGGGATGCTGGGAATCAAACCCGGGTCGGCCGCGTGCAAGGCAAATTGCCCTACCCAGTGTATTGCTCCAGTCCCAAGGTTTTGTTTTTTGGAGACTGACTATGCTCAGGGCTTATTCCTGACTCTTGCTCAGGGATCACTTCTGGTGGGACTCAGGGAACTCTAGATGATGTGGGGAATTACAACAGCCACATGCAAGGCAAGCACCCTACCTGCTTTATGTTCCAGCCCCACCATTAGCTCTTTGTAAAATGGTTTCTTTTCTGCTTTGGTGGGGGTATCAGGGAAAGTCTCTCCAGCAGTGCTCAGGAGTCCCACCAGCCAAGCCAGTGGTTCATAGCAGGGCCTGAAGACTGTGTGCTGCTCAGGGTCTGCAGGGCTGGGGGTCACACAGACCCTGCTGGTGCTTGGGCGTCTCCAGGCCTACAGCCGGCAATGTGAGTGGACCAGGTGGTTCTGGGGATCCAGCTAGGGTTACCACACGGGAAGACAGTGCTTTGATTCTGTGAATACTGTGCCTTTACCCCCGAAGACTGTGCCTTGACCCCGGTGCTGCCTCTGCAGCTCCTGGAAGGTTGCTGTGCTTATCCAGCTCCAGTCCATGGACATGTAATACCCAGTCCGTTTGCATGACTTAAAATTTGATTTTGGATGCTACAGGACCTAATATGAATTTCCTAGAAATATTTGATAAGCTTTAGGATAACTACTTAATTTTCGACTAGATGGAGAGTTAGAAGACAAAACGTATTTTCCATAAAGTTTGAGTACTTAAGTACTTATCTGGGGTGCAGAGGAGATCGTTCAGAAGGCTGGAGCTTAGGCTTTGCATACAGGAGTGCCCCTGCCGGGTTCCATCCATGCCCCTCTATGGCCCCTGAGCAGTGTTGGTTTCCCCCCCCCAAAATAAGGGTTTGATCTCTGGGGAGACTGTTGCAAAAGACTTATAATTCTTTTTTTACATCTTAGTTGAATGAAAGCTTAATTTTTGCATAATTAAGTATGATAGTTACTTAATTTCCTTATATTTCAGATGATGTACAAGAAGCATATAACCTAATCAAGGATCTGGAACCTACTACCCCCCAGGTAACTGAGAGCATGCCACATTTCTACGAACAAAGTTCTATGAAAGAGCAGCTTGGCAGAGGCATCAGGAAGAAGGAGTAGAAAAGGTGCTGCCGGGGTCCCAGGAAGGGCTGGAGATGCTGACGGAGGTCTGGTACCCTGGTAGACTGTGAGCATGGTGCCATGCTTCCTGCATCCCAAGCACGCTCTCTAGCCCTTTGGGCCCTAGCCAGGGCTTTTTGATGTTTTTTAAAAAATATTTATTATAGCACCATGATTTACCAACTTGTTCATAATACAGTTGTTTTAGGCGTTAGATGTTTCAACACCAGACCCACCACCAGCGTGACCTTCCCTCCACCAGTGTCCCCAGTTTCCCACCATCACTCCAGCCTGCCCCCTTGCAGACACAAACTAATTTACTTCATATTGTTGTTAGAACACAAAGGCAAGTGGAATTATCAAAATTTAGATCAGTAGGAATCCATTTGAGATAATTAGGGGTTTTTTGTCTAAAATTTAATTACATAGTAATTAAAATGTTAAAATCAAAAGACAAAGACTCTTAAAGCGGCAACACTCAAATACAGGCAAAACAACATAAGAATCACAACCGACTTTCCATATGTAATTGAGATAATTGTTAATTCTCACAATGACGTTACTAAAGTGATTGTCTGAGGACCCACTGTGTTGGTTGGTGCTAGCTGAGCCTTCTGTGATACTGTTTAGGCTCAGGGAGCTCTGTGGGCTTCAATGCAAGATTCCCATCAGATTTTCCGTGACCCTACTGGGCTGATAGTACTGTGAAATTGGGAGGTGTCACATGGCTGCTTGTGGTGGGGCTGTGCGGCCCAGGAGCTATGGATCTGAAACAGTTTGGTGGCTTGGCAGTTTGATGAGGTTCAGGTTTGGAGCTGGGCCCTTCCTGTGGAGGGTCAGGTGTGGCAGTGGGCCACTGTGCTTAGAAAGGGACATCTGCTCGCCCCTGTTCCGAGAAGGTCCCAGAGTCCTCAGCCTAGACCACTCTACCACGGAATATTTGGTGGTTTCATGTTCTTTTGGAGGTGTGACATTGGTTCCCCTTGATGGTTTAAGATTCCCTTTAGTCATATCCTCAAGAGGATTCAAGTTCGAAAATACTGAAATCTTGAATTCTGGTGAAACAATTGAGATGTTGACATTTTGGTCACCAATGTAAATAACTTTAACTTGTCTTTAGCCAGGAGGCTGATAGTCAGAACTGCGGCTGTGTGGCATTGCCCATGTTGTGTGTACTAAGCACATGATAAACATTCCACTTAGTAACTGAAAGACAGATGGGAAAATATTTGCAGACCCTGTGAAGTTTAAGCAGGCATGCTTACCCAGTGTGGGAAAAGTTTGTTTTATTTATTTATTTATTTATTTTTTGCACCATCCCCAGCAGTATTCTGTGATTCCTCCTGCTTCTGTGCTCAGGGTTCACTCCTTTCAGGGTTTGGGGCACCGTAGGCTGTGGTGGGGATTGAATCCCAGGTCGGCTGTGAGCAAGCCAGGTGCCTTACCTCTTAATATGTCTCTGACCAATATCTTTCCTACAAAACTATGAGCCTTCTTTTTTGTGTGCATGTGTGTGTTTTGGGCCATACCTGGTTCTGCACTCAGGGATCACCCTGGCAGGCTCAGGAGCATCTGACAGCATGCCAGGGATTGCACCCAGGTCAGCCATGTGCAAGGCAAGTGCCCTGCCCACTGTGCCATAGCTCCCGACCCCTTATTTCTGCGCCTTCCTAGATGAAGTTACCACCCACATAAGAACTGATCAGGTGGCTAGTGAGAGTAGCTATTAAGTGTTAGCACTAAGTCTGAAAGGGGTGTAGATAATGCCCCAGAAGGCCAAAAGAAAGAAAACTTTACAAATGAATATCAGGGGATTTTTGGACCAGAGTAATAGTAATAGACAGCAGGTAGGTTGCTTTCCTTGCACACAACTGACCCAGGTTCAGTCCCTGGCACCACATACAGTCAGTCCCCTGCACCTTGCCAGAGTGATTCCTGACACAGAGTCTTCTGGGTGTGGCCCCAAATCCAAAACAACAACAAAAGAAAGAGAGCGAGAGAGAGGATTAGTAGCAGAGGACAGTTATATTATTGGAAAGGGAAAATCATAGTCATGATGTTATATATGTCAGTGGGTGGAGTGATAAGAATTATTATGTAAACAGTAATTTTTTATTGAATTGAAATGCAGTTAAACTTATTTCAATGAAAGTTTCCACTGAATTATTTTTGTTAAGATTGAGAATTTACAAGTACAGTAAATCCTATGATGTGGACATGACCCATCACAAATAAAATTAAAATTTCCTAATTCTTTCATTCAAGCGAGAGGCTAAACAGAGAATTGTGATTTTGGAGAGCTCTTAACAATCATATACAACTTTGTATCGATGTAGATAGTTAACTTGAAAGATATCCGAGAGCTTCGCGGTCCTTTTAACTAATTGATATCATCCATGTTCCCAGGAGTACATCCTCAAAGGAGTGGTCAATGCAGCGCTTGGCCAGGAAATGGGATCGGTGAGTACAGCATCACGGGTGGGCTAGGTTTTGTAAGGTGTTGGTGTGGGAACACAGCACGACCAGCAGCATGGTTCAGCAGCGGCAAGGCCACAGCCGGCTCTTCTGCGGTTCTCTTTTCCTTTCCTGAGTCTGGGGCCATTCCTGGCACTGCTGCGTGCCTGCTCCTGGCGTTGTGCTCCGGAATCCCTTCTGAGGGGCCCAGGGGACCATTTGTGGTGCTGGAGATTGAGCCTGAACTGGCCAGGAACAAGGAAGCACTTTACCTGCTTCACTGTCTTTGTGGCCTTCTGAAGTTTTGGGTACTTCAGTCCAGTTTCTAGTATTAAAATTTATTAACGTTTAAAAGAGTTTGCCTGCAAAATTTGTTGCTTGCCTTTAACATGAAAACTTTCTATTTCAAAATAAAAGATCATGAGTTTGAGTCCTTACTCTTGGTTAAATTTTATTTTCATTGCTGGGTGTTAGACTCAGGACTGACATTCGCAAGAGAAGATGTCTCTGAGCCACACCCAGTCTGAACCCAGTTTTTACAGGGTTTGCATGTAGCAACAGCAAATCATCATACATTTTTTTCTTTTTTGGGGGGGGTTCACACTGAGCGATGCTCAAGGGTTACTCCTGGCTTTGCACTCAGGAATTACTTCTGGCGGTGAGCAGGGGACCCTATGGGATGCTGGGAATTGAACTCGGGTCAGCTGCATGCAAGGCAAATGCCCTACCCACTGTGCTATTGCTCCATCCCCCATCATACATTTTTATTGTCATTTTCTTTTTGGGTCACACCCGGCAATGCTCAGGGGTTACTCCTGGCTCATGCACTCAGGAATTACTCCTGGCGGTGCTCGGGGGACCATATGGGATGCTGGGAATCGAACCAGGGTTGGCCATGTTGGCTGCGTGCAAGGCAAACGCCCTACCCACTGTGCTATCGCTTCAGCCCCTTTATTGTCATTTTCATGGCTTTCTCTGTGTGAGTGGTGCCTGGGATCCACCCCGGATCCTACACGTTCATGGTTCTACTAAACCACATCTCTGGCCTGAAGAGATGTTTTTCCCCCCAAACCTTGTGCATTCTGAGCAATAATGTTAGCATCATCTCCATTATCTCCAAAATGGAGATAATTTCTCTATGAGAAAGGGCTTTTTTGATTTGTTTTTGTTTGGGGGGCCACCCTGGCTGTGCTCAGGACTCCCTCCTGACTGTCCTCGGTGATCACTGCTGATGGGCTCAAGGGGGCCCTTTGGGGTGCTGGCCATCGGAAGGGGTTCTCTATGGGCATGGCCAGCACCTTACCCACTGTTCTCTCTCTCCAGCTCTAAATAGTTTATCTCCAGCTTACAACACTTAAACTCATGTATTATTTTTGAATCAATATATGAGTTTACTTAATAAGTGTATTTGTTACAGCCATAGGTCCTGCCATAGGCCTGATGTCTGGTTAAAGAGCAGTAAGTCTCTTTTGGGGGAGGCCTGAAGCTTGGAGCACCTGCCATGCACGTGTATGGTCCCAAGTTCAAATCCCCAGTGTCCCACATGCAAGAGCGGGGCCTGGCTGCCCGCTCTCTACACGGCCCTGCTGTGAGCGGTGTCCCCACATGCAGCTGGACTGTGGGAGCTCCTCGCGAGCACCGGGCACCCCACGAGCCACACAGCCATCATGTGTGCACCCCAACTCCATGCAGCCCCCATACGCCCATGGGCCAGCAGCCCCCTAAAGGAGTCAGTGCCCCTGCCCCCCAGCCCCGCGGCCAAACCCTGCAGCTGGTTATGTCCCCACAGAGCACCACAGCGGCACGTGTGGCCCATCTCAGCAGCCGTGGGACTGGGGACAGAAATGCAGCTGCTCAAGGTGACTGACGGAGGCCCACAGAGCCCTGCCGGCTGGAGTGTGGAGTTGGCTGCTTTTGTCCTTTCTGGCTGCCCTGAGCAGACTTTGAGGTCTCCTGTGGGAAGGTCGCGGTGGTCTCTGCAGCCAGCTAGAGGAGGAGGGTCTGAAGCAAGGGTGTCTGCGGCCTTGAGAAGCTGCGTCGGGCCGGGAGACAGCTCAAAGGGCTGCACACATGTTTATAGGGGAGCCCCCAGGCCCCCAAGTACCAGAGGGATCTCCCGAGCAACAAGCCGGGAGTAGCCCTGACCCCACTCGAGTGGCCCAAACCTCAAGCCTGGCGAGTGACATGATGACGTGCGTCCAGTGTGACTGTGGCCACTGCTCTGTTTTCCAGAGGGACCATATGAAAATCGCACAGCAGTTCTTCCAGCTGGTGGGAGGTTCGGCCAGCGAATGTGGTATGTCTGAGTCCCTATGCTGACCAGCGCCGGGCTTCCTGCTCCGGCCCGAGTGGCCGTGTGCTCGGCGAGCCCCTCCCTGCTGGCTCTCTGGCCCTCAGAATGATCTCATACTAGTACCAGGCTTAAAATACTTCTTTAACCCTTGCACTTGGGAATATATTCACTGTTATCTCCATGACTTACTTCAAAGCTTCCTTCTTTTCTTAAAATAACGTATTGGTTTGCTCTATAAGTCCATTTCTCTCTTGAACATGTATTTTGTTTGCTTGTCTCGGTCTCTCTGCTTGCTTTTTTCCTCTTTCTCCCTCTCTCTCTCTCTGTCTCTCTCTGTCTCTCTCTGTTTGTCTCTGTCTCTGCTTCTGTCTCTGTCTCTCCCTCTCTCTTTCCCTCTCTTTCTCTCTCTTTGTCTCTCTCTCTCTCTGGGGTGGGGAGATTTGGGTCACACCCAGTGATGCTGAAGGGTTACTCCTGGCTCTGCACTCAGGAATTTCTCCTGGAATTCTGGGGATCAAACCTGGGTTGGCTTCGTGCAAGACAAGCGCCCCATCCACTGTGCTATTTTTAGGCCATCCCCAACCCCTGCCCTGTGTTCTCTCTTGAACATATATTTCCTCCTTTACTCTTACCTCATATATTTTTTTTAAGTATTGATTTAATCAGTCAAGAGTAAGGATAAGGTTTAAGAGCCAGAAGAAAGGGCCGATAGCGAGCCAGCTCTATGCCTTCGAGGCCAGCGTCTGTTCTCTGAGTGGCTTCACGTGGAACCCGGTCACTGTTTTTCTCAAAACTAATAACAAAACACATATTTTCTTGTTTGCTAAATGTTTATACATATGTTTAATAGGTTCCTGGATGTTCACTTTCTTTAAATATTTCAACCCAAATCATTAATGGAATAATATTCATTCACAGTGTTAGAACAGAAATACATTGAGATATATTTTATATAGTTGTAAAACAAACAAGCAACCTTCTTGCCCTTCTGGAGGAGTGGCCTGGAGGCACTGACCTTGGGCTTAAGGCCTCCCTCTAGTGGTCGTGTACTGACTGATGGTGAGATGGGGGGAGGCCCGCGGCCACCGGGTCCCATGGTGCGCCTGACTGCCTGGGTCCAGTCCCAGCCACGAGCCCACAGAGGCCGCCCCTGCGCTGGAGGCCGGCAGGACTGATGACGGAGACCGAGGCACAGTCACGGGTATTGGAGCCGGGTAGAAGGGTCGAGGCCGGGAGAAGAGCTCGGGCAGCACCAGGCAGCAACCCTGACCCTCGAAGTGGACAGGGCATTCTCGAAGCCCCGACGCCGGCACTTAAGATGCGTGGGGAGACAGGCCTGTCAGCCCCCTGAGAGCACGCGGCCCCTGTTCCCTTCCAGACACGATTCCAGGGAGGCAGTGCATGGCTTCGTGTTTCTTCCTGCTGAAGCAGTTTGATGATGTGCTGATTTACCTCAACTCTTTTAAGGTCAGTATAGAGTTTTCTTCTAGAAAACTTCTACGCTATGTTTAATGTGTCAGACATTAATAATTTTAGAAAAAGCCTTTTAATTATGGTGGCACGAGTTGCTTTTTTTTGAGTCACACCTGGAGATGCACAGGGGTTCCTCCTGGCTCATGCATTCAGGAATTACTCCTGGCGGTGCTCAGGCGACCCTATGGGATGCTGGGAATCAAACCCTGGTTGGTCGCGTGCAAGGCAAATGTTCTACCCGCTGTACTGTCGCTCCAGCCTCGGCGCAAGTTTCTTTAACTCTTAAGATTATTTTTTTGGATACTGGGATTCACAGTCCTGTTGATTTGTGCATCGTCCCTGCAGCCACCATTCTTGTGTGGCTCCCTCCACCGAGGGCCCCTCCTTGCCACCCCACCTCCTGCGAAAGCTCAGTGTGAGGGAGGGATCTCCAGTGCTGCTGACTTTGGCTGTTTGCGGCCCCCTTCCTGTTTCTCTCTACCCCACTGTGGGAGACGCCTTTTCTCGCCAATGTATCGCGGAGATGGAGACACGGACACACCTGTAGCTCTTAGATTATTTTAGTCTGTACATCAAAGCCATCATCGTTAGCACTATTGTGAACATGTGCCCCAAACTGTAATCTGAAGAAAGAGTTGTTCCTGAGCTTCCCAGGGAGGGTGGGAGGGCACAGGAGGGAGCCCTGAGACTGGGGGTGGGAATGGGTGCATTGCCCCGAGGGCTGTTGTTAACAGTATTGTGAATCACAGTGCCTAAATCAGATTGGAAAAGTAAAGACATTATGAAGTTTTTAAAAGATTATCTTTTTAGAGGGGGTGGTTGGCCCAGATCTGGCAGTGCTCAGGGCGCACTCCTGGTGGGCCGGGGGTGGGGGTGGGGTGGGGGGGACCATGAGGGGTGCCGGGGAATTGAACCCAGGTCAGGTTTGTGCAAGGCAAACGCCCTACCTGCTGCACTATTGCTCAGACCCCCTTAAAGATGATTTTTGTGTTGAGCTGGTCTCATTCGTCTGTTTTGAAATGTGTCTTCTGTTCCGTGAGCGCTCACTGTGCCTGATCTTGGCGTGTCTTCCAGAGTTACTTCTGCAATGATGACATCTTTAACTTTAACTACGCCCAAGCCAAAGCCGCCACAGGCAACACCAGGGAGGGAGAAGAAGTAGGTACTGCTCTAAGGCGTTGGGGTGGCACTAGCCACAGAGCGTCTTCTCACCGAGATCAAATGCTGACGGGGGAAAGATTATGCCAAGTTATTTTGCTTTAAGTTACCTTAGAACAGCACCATGTAAATAGTTACTTTAGAACCATATCAATATTTCATCTCCTTGATAAATTTTATAAAAGTATAACATGCTGAGAAACATAAATTACTCAGTTGAATTTTTTTTTATATTTTTTAATTTTGTTTTTGGGCCATGCCCAGCAATGCTCAGGGGTAACTCCTGGCTCTGCACTGAGGAATTACTCCTGGCAGTTTTGGGGGTTCATAGGGGATGCCGGGGATCAAACCTGGGTTGGCAGCGTACATGGCAAACGCCCACCAGCCTTAGTTAAATCCTTGCCAGTCCCTATGGTCCCTTGAGGAGGGGTCATTTGTTTTGTTGTGTTTTGTTTTGGGGCCACACCTAGCAGTGCACAGGGCTGACTCCTGGCTCTGTGCCCAAGGATCATTTCTGGTGGTGCTTGGGGACCATATGGAATGCCGGGAATCAAACCTGGATCGGCCGTGTGTAAGGCAAGCGCCCTACCGCTGTTCTATTACTGTGGTCCCAAGCTGGAGTCATTTCTAAGCCTAAAGCCATGAATAACTCCTGAGTACTGTCAGGTGTGCGCCCCCCCCCCCAAGCAAAATAAATGAAACATGTTTTATTATTTTAGACTATGAATGTTATCTTTTCTAGGAATTTTAATTTCTATCTTAATCATGAGGATAGACTCTGTTCTGTAGAACACTACCTTTTTAAAATTTGAACAGTTGCTTTAGTTCCCAGTAGCATGATCATATATGTTTGTGTGTGTCATACAGTTAATTACAGGTCAAATCGACTTCCTTACCGACTTCTAGTCAGCTTGTGATTTCAATAGCTAAGAGAAGTGTTTTGAAGCCACAGTTTTATACTGAATTTTGATTATAAAGCTTTGTTTACTCTAAAGCAAGCTGGTAGGGTTATTTTGACTGGAGAACATTCTATGCTTACTGACTTTCTCTCCTCTTCTTGTAGGTTTTCCTCTTAATCCAGAGTGAGAAGATGAAAAATGACTACATTTACCTCAGCTGGTTAGCTCGGTGCTGTGAGTCTTCTTTTCCCTGTTACAGAGGAACCTCCTCTCTTTGCGCTTCCGGATGGAGTGGCACTGACTGAGACTTTCTGGTTTTGCTTTGCCTTTTGCTCAGTCTAAGGAGTGAGCGTTCCGATGCTGCAGGCGGGCTGCTCAGTAAGGGCCCCATGGGTGTGTGTTGTGTGTTGGACCATGATGGGTCTCCCTGTGCCTCACTGAACTGCAGAGACAGTCTTGAGAGACGCCAGGTTCTTCCTTTAGCCTCTTCAGGTTTTCTGAGTCTCCCTTGACAGTGTTGGCTGCCAAATTACGTTGTCGTTCCTCATTGTAACTTTTCACAGTAGTACAGGTCTGAAAAATGGCTTTGGTTTTTTTGTTTGTTTGTTTGTTTTGGTAGATGACAGAACTTCTTATCTCTCTTTTCACTTCTTATTTTTTTTATTTTAAATTTAAAACACTCACTGCATTGAAAAAAATTTCCCCCACACTTTATTTTTATTGGTTTATTTTTGGGTCTTTGGGTCACACCCAGTGATGCACAGGGGTTACTCCTGGCTTTACACTCAGGAATTACTCCTGGTGGTGCTCTGGGGACCATATGTGATGCTGAGGATCGAACCCGGGTCGGCTGCGTGCAAGGCAGATGCCCTACCCGCTGTGCTGTCGCGTTAGCCCCTTTCCCCACACTTTGAGCACTGGTTTACAACGTCGTTCATGATTGCTTGTTGCAGGCATTCAGTTTTCCAGCCCCAGTCCCATCACCACTGTCCCCTTCCCTCAGCCATTGATTGTCTCCATTTCCCCACCATCAGCAAGCCTGCCCTCCTAGCAGGCACACAGTAATTTATTTTATATTACTTGTTACCACTTAATGGCTAATGATAAATATTTCTGTAGGAGAAAATTAGTGAAAATTGTATCTCAGCTAAGTCCTTGTCTGAGGGATTACTAACATGTTGTTACAAGTTACACTTTCTGTGTTAATGTTTTCCTTAGTGAAGATTGGTTGGCTTCCATCCCATCCAAAGTGGTTCCTCAGTGTTGTAGAGTTTGGAGATGGCACATGGCTGCAGATGCATCCAGAAGATCCAGAATTTTTCAGTGGGCGGTCCAGCTAGAGTTAATTTTTTTTTTTTTTTGCTTTTTTGGGTCACACCTGGCAATGCTCAGGGGTTTACTCCTGGCTCTGCACTCAGAAATTACTCCTGGCAGTGCTCAGGGGACCATATGGGATGCTGGGATTTGAACCCGGGTTGGCCGCGTGCAAGGCAAACGCCCTACCCGCTGTGCTATTGCTCCAGCCCCAAGAGTTAAATTTTTAACTTGGTGGTGGGTTTGGGGTTTTGTTTGTGTGAGTGCTAGCCCGTCCCCCTCTGAGATCGCTCTGGGTGGAGAGATTTTTGCAGCTAGTTGAGTCCTTTTGAATTGTATTTATGAGTCTTTGGACCAAGGCTGATAGATGAGCTTACATGGCCCTGAGGGTGGATCATGGGCGTGGCCGGGGCTCCTGGCAGTACAGGAAGGTGGAAGGAGGTAGCCTGCATTACCCTGAGGATGCCTGAAGTTGTCAGCCACAGGGATGTGAGATTTTTCTGCAGGTGAAGGTCTCTGTGCAGCTTGGTCCTGGGGCGATGGAGTCGGGCCGGATTCTCACTGCATTTTTAAAGTCTTGGGACATGTTTGTGGTTAGACTTTCTAAGTGAAGTGGAGAGGCAAATGAGCAGGAGGGAGTGAATGGCAGGTGTCCTCCCTGAAGCCGAGGGGCAGAGTAGAAACTGCTGGAAGGATATGCTTGTGTTAGCCCCAAGAATTATTCTAAGGATCATCCAGCTCTGGTTGGGAGGTGGGATAGTGCAGGCTTTCCTGGGGGAGCTGTTGGAATGTAGAACCGGCCCACAGAGAAGCAAGATGTAGCAGTATTCTGCTCACATATATTCAGAAATACAAATCTTTGTTTCCCTGTTTTGTAGACATAATGAACAAGAAACCAAGACTGGCCTGGGAGCTTTATCTCAAGATGGAAACCTCGGGGGAGTCCTTCAGCCTCTTACAGCTCATTGCTAATGACTGCTACAAGGTGAGACGGGGAGGCTGTGAGGAAACCGAAGGCCAGAATCGCGTTGCTGCTCGCGCCAAAAATTCAAGGAAATTCTCCTTGAGGCTCTAGTGCTGTTGGTGAGAGGATTCATGGTGACAACAGGAATGTCATCCCTGTGCGGATGGACTGAACATTTCAGGGCTTTATTTGTACGTGGAATAGTGGTTTAGAAAGAGGAGATTTTGCATTTCTAATGGTCATGCAACTTGTTTGTTTTGTTTTGTTTTGGGACGACACCTGACTGTGCTCTAGTCTTACTCCTGGCTCTGTGCTCAGGGACCACCTCTGTGGGGTTAAGACAAACAGCTGCGGAGCGGGATCGAACCAGGGCCAGCCTGCGCAAAGCAAGCGCATTACCTGGTGTACAGTGTCTCTGCTCACATGCCCGTGAATTTTAAGTACTATCCGGATACAGATATTTATCTGAAGATGTGTTTCTGAGTCTCAAAAAAGAGTCCTTTGACACCTAAATACAAATATTTCAAGAAATCAGTATTTTTTTTTTTTTGCTTTTTGGGTCACACCCGGCAATGCACAGGGGTCACTCCTGGCTCTGCGCTCAGGAATTACCCCTGGCAGTGCTCAGGGGACCATATGGGATGCTGGGAATCGAACCCGTGTCGGCCGTGTGCAAGGCAAACGCCCTACCCGCTGTGCTATTGCTCCAGTCCCAAGAAATCAGTATTTTGATGATAGTCATAAAGCGCAGAAAAATAGTGGAATTACCTCGGGAAGGAAGTAAAGTGTGAGGAGGGATTGCAAAGCAAACCCTGCAGAAAATGGAGGTGCGGATGGTGACAGGAACGACAAAGGAAGCAGGAAAGGAAAGAGGAGAGGACAGTGTTAGATTAAGAGAGTATGTATTAAATTAACAGGGGGCTAGAGCAATAGCACAGCGGGTAGGGCATTTACCTTGCACAAGGCCGAGCAGGGTTCGATTCCCAGCATCCCATATGGTCCCCTGAGTACTGCCAGGAGTAATTCCTGAGTGCATGAGCCAGGAGTAACCCCTGAGCATTGCTAGCTGTGACCCAAAAAGCAAAAAAATAAATAAAACAAATAAACTAACCAACAGCGGCTCATTTCAAAGGGAACTGTTATGAAAATAAAGTGAGTCATCACAAGTTTGAAAGGCCTTACAATCCGGCCGGGGCTGCTCTCCAGCCCCTGTTTCCGTTCAGCACACTGTACTCTGGAGAAGCCCGTGCTCTCTCTTGAACACACACCTTATCCCTTTTTCTCCCCTCACAGCTTTCTAAATTAGTTTCAATAAGAACTACCTTGCATCACCAAAAATAAATTAATTAAAAAATTAAAATAAAATACCGGCTGGAGAGAGGGCACAGTGAGCAGGGCGCTTGCCTTGCACTTGGCTGATCTGGGGTTTGATGCTCGTCATCCCGTAAAACCCTGAGCACCACCGGGAGTGATCCCTGAGCACAGAGCCACAGGCAGCCCTGAACACCTCTGGGTGTTGCCCTGAAATAGTTTTGAAAAATACAAAAGATAGTTTTAAAATAGAAGAAACTTGAAAATGTTTGCCATGACTTGGTGGATGGCAGCGATGTTCTGGGAGGAGTGTCTGGGATGAGGTGAAGCTCGGGGGTCCAGGTGAGAGGGGACGTCAGCGCCGTCACTGAGGTAAACTCATTAATTGTGGGGTGGCAGATGACTCAGGGGGAATGAGACGAAGCAGGGAAATGGGTGAGCAACCACAGGAATTGCAATACTCAAGGGGTCAAAATAGAGTCAGTGAAAGAGGGTGAAGAGAAGGAAAGGAAAATAACCAGAAGAGAAAACAGTGCTTTTTTATCTTCCTACTCCAATTCTATCAGAAGTCTAGGAAGAATATTGAATCTGCAGCTAGGTGAACTTGTGTGGGACCCGAGAAAACAGTCATGGATAGAAAAGTCAATTAAGAAAAAGAAGCAGGGGCTGGAGCGGTTGTACAGCAGAGAGGGCTCTGGCCTTGCATGTGATTGACCCAGGTTCGATCCCCAGCATCCCATATGGTCCCCGGAGCACTGCCAGGAGTAATTCCTGAGTGTAGAGTGCAGAGCCAGGAATTACCCCTGAGCACTGCTGCTTGTGACCCCCTAATCCCCCGCCCTTTCCCCCAAAAAAGAGATACAATGAGTGGGCAATCAAGCCACCGTATTTAAAAAGTGATGTGTAAAATATAGTGCCAAAATGTGATGCTAAAGGAAAAACCAACGCATGGATTTGGAGGAGGCAGATTTCCTTTCTGAGGTCGAGGGAGAGGGGAATCAAAGGATGTTTTAGGCAGAGGAAGAGAAACCACTGATAGCGAGATCAAAGATTGGCAAGAGTGGGAGCATTTCTGATGGAGTCAGGCCTCAGAGAAGATGAGAAAGGGGTGGGATTAAGATCAAAGGAGAAGGGGAAGAGATCAAAGGAAGGATCCAACCTTGAAAACAACTGGCATTATTATCTCCTGTCTCAGTGGTCCTGTAATAACCCACTAGCGTGATGATTCAGGGCCCCGATTTCTGACAGCACAGGTCGTAGGCAAAGATGTGGAGGAGAAAGAGGGGCGCTCAAGTCCAGCTCATTCTGGTTTTGTTCTGGGGCCACACCCAACGGTGCTCAGGGCTTCCTTCTGGCTTTCTGCTCAGAAATCACTCTTGGTGGGTTCAGGGGAATCCCCCGGGGTGGCAGGGAGTGAACCCGGTTGGCCCCGTGCAAGGCAGACATCTCCAAGTCCAGGCGTTCCTGTCTCCTCTGCAAATTACAGTCCTGGCTTCGTCCAGGTGTGGCCTCGATAAGCACACACATGTTGAATGCCGTCCAGGAAAAACAGGCGGGACAAATAGGAAACCCCTGGAGAGGGGCTGGAGAGATAGCAGAGTGGGTAGGGCATTTGCCTTGCACGCAGCCAACTCGGGTTCGAATCCCAGCATCCCATATGGTCCCCTGAGCACCGCCAGGAGTAACTCCTGAGTGTAGAGCCAGGAGTAACCCCTGTGCATCGCTGGGTGTGACCCAAATAGCAGAAAAAAAAAAAAAAGAAAAGAAAACCCCTGGAGAATCAAGTCCAGGTGTCTCACTGCTTTTCCATGCCAGGGGGCCAGGGGCCAGACAGAGCCTCTGTAGGGGGCCTGAGGTGATCCCCTGCACCATTGCCAGGAGTGACCCCAAGCACCAAGCCAGAAACAGCCCCCGAGCAGTGTGGGAGTGGTGCAGAACCAAACAGATGTGTACAAGCAAATATATTTTATACATATAGCTAGTGTACTTAGACCAAAAGACATTAATAAATTTAAAAACATGATCCAAGAACTTGCTCAATAGAAGGAAGTCAGTTCATATATCTTTTTTGGGGGGGCTGGGAGGGACCACACCCCCTCAGGGGTTATCCTGGCTCTGAGCTTAGGGAGAACTTCTAGTGGGGATCAGGGACCATACTGGTGCTGGGGATTGAACCTGGGTCGCCCACATGCCAGGAAAATGCCCTGCTTGCTGTACTCTCTCTCTCACCCCTCGGTTCAGGTAATATGATGTAGATACACTGAAAGTAAATGGCTTAAAAAAGATATGCCATGAAATAATCAGACAGGTTTTTTAAATTTTTTACTTTACTTTGGATTACTTTATCTAAATTTCATTTTATTCAATCTCTGTAATTGTATTATCTCATCTGAGTTTTCGGTTGTAGTCCCGGTGATGTGAGTGCCGTTGCGGATGGCGTTTCCCGTGTCCAGTGTTCTAAGGGGACACCTGGCCCGGGCGCTCAGCTCTGTGGACCGCGCTCAGGTGCTGTTGCCTTCAGCCACTTGCTCCTCTCTTGTGAGGCCTCTTTCTGGCCCACATGTGAGAGAGACCATTCTGCCTCTGTTGGGTTGGTTTGGGGGCCACATCCGGCCATGCTGAGGGCTGCCCCCTTCGGAGCTGGGGTCATTCTGCCCCTCGGGAGCCTCCTCCAGGACTCAGCAGCCCGAGCGGCTGGTTTAGAATACCAGAATACCCAGAACTGGACACAGTTCGGTTGTCCCTCCAGAGGTAGAAGGTTAAATACTCTGCTTCGGCCTGGGGTGCTGCTCAGTAATTTCTAACATGTGTGTTGCGTGAGGCTGACTCTGACTTCTCATAGGCCACCTGGCCAGGGTAATGAGAAGGCAGGGTCACTTCCTTCCCTTTGAGCCTCGGTCACTGCCCCCACAGGCTTTGGGCCCCTGACTCAAAGGTCTGCCCTACTCTCGAGCCACAGCAGCAGGCAGGGCATTTGCCTAGCATGCCGCAGACCCCGATTCAATCCCCAGCCCCCATATAGTCCCCAAACTCCATCAGGAATGCTCCATGAGCACAGAGCTAGGCCTAAGTCCTGAGCACCACTAGGTGTGGCCCTCAAGCCAAAAAAGAAAAAAGAAAGAAAGATTCGCACTGCTTTCCCAGAGCGGTCGGCTCTGGCAGGAATCGGTTTCATACTCAGGGCGCCTCTCGGTGTTCTCCGCACCCAGACCACACTTGGCCAGTTACCTGATGGCTGCAAACTGCTGCCCCCTTGAGCGACCGATCAGCATACTGCTGAGAGAAGGAGGTCCAGGCTCATCTGCTCGACTGCCCACACGTGTAACATTCTTGAAATGAAGGAAAACCATTAAGATGAAGAAAAACAAGCGAGGCCAGGGCGAGGGGCGGGAGCTGGAGGGGTGCACAGGGCGAGTCGTGGTGGCTCCCAGGGGCCCCACACTGGCCCAGCCACAGCTGTGCTCACACCATGCACGTTTGTTTGGGGGCCACATTCAGCAGTGCTCAGGGCTTCCTCCTGACTCTGTGCTCAGGATCACTCCTGGCGGTGCTCGGGGACCTTATGTGGTACTGCTGAAGATCAAACCCGGGTTGGCCACATGCAAGGCAGTTACCGTCGCTCCAGCACCTTGTAATTATTTTTTAAAGTGCTCCACCCCCACGAAGCAATGAGAACTATAAACAGTGGCAGAGATGAACTTTTAAATATAAGGAAGAGGGCATTTTCCATTCTGGGCACCACCGCATCTCAGCCTGCTATGTGTAATTCCTTTCTTTGCACCTTACCGGCTACCCTTGACTCTCCCTCTCCACAGAAGCATCTTTAAAAGAATTTTTTTACTGAATCACAGTGAGTCACAGTGAGTTACGGTTGTTCAAAATTAGGTTTCAGTTATATAATGTTCCCACACCCGTCCCTTTACCAGTGTTCATTTCCCACCACCAATACCAGTGTCCCCAATTTCCCGCCTGCCCCGCCCCCCCGCCTCTATGGCTGGCACTTTCCTCTCTCTCTCTCTCTCTCTCTCTCTGTGTCTCTCTCTCTCTCTTCCCCCCTCCACTTCCCCGCCCCTTTTGGGCATTATGCAGAGGAGCATCTTGAACGCATGAACACATGTCTCGCCCACCCTCCTCCTGTTTACTGAAAATGTCCTGATAGTCCAGGAATGGCACTTGCCTTGCATCTGGCCAACCGCCAGGGGTCACTCCCGAGCACAGAGCCCGGAATAGCCCCTTAAGCATCTGGTGTGCTGCCCCCACCAAAAGAACAAAAACAATTTTCTCTCACTGAAACTTTTTTTTTTCTTTTTGGGTCCCTTCAGGGATTACTCCTGGCTCTGCGCTCAGGAGGTCTTGGGGGACCATATGGGATGCCAGGGGATCAAACCCGGGTCGGCCCTGTGCAGGGCAAGTGCCCTTCCACTCTACTGTCGCTCGAGCCTCCTCACTAAAACTTATAAAATAAAAATAAATATGTAAGACAAAAGAGAACATTTAAGGCTTATTTGATAGGAATACAGTTCTGAGAAGCAAAAGTCAATCACACTGTCTAACAATGTGTACATAGCGCCAGAGCATTTGCCTTGCATGTGGTCAACCCATATCTGGTTCAGCCCCAGCATCTCCTATGGTCTCCTGAACCTGCCGGAGTGATCCTTGAACACCAAACCAGGAGTAAGCCTGAGCACTGCCTGGTGTAGCCAGAACGTGTGTGGGGGGGTGGGGGTGGGGGACACATGAATGTGTACATAGGTGACAAGCTGTAAAATGAGATGGAGTTTGCAGAGGGGCTTTGCATGCAGAGGACCCCATCCAATCCCTGGCCGCGAAGGCTCCACAGTCTACTATAGCCCCCAGGGCCCCAAGCACCACTGTGGTGGCTTGGCAGCCCCTCGCACCCCTGCATTTCCGGCCGAGCACTGAAGCATATGACCCATTTAACCGGGTATTGCCAGGAGTGGGCACCGCTCAGAGGCCGCCCAAAATAACTCTAAAGGAAGTCCCAGACGTGATAACTCGAAAGTCTGAAAGGGCAGGAGCTAGCTCCAAGGCTGATAGGGGGACTGAAGTCAGTTCCCAGAACCTCATGCACTCCAGCGCAGAGCTGGGAGTGACCTCCTGCACCGAGGCAGGAGTAGCCCCTAAGCAGAAAACATAAAAACAAAAATATCTAATAGTAGTTGTATCTGGAAGGAAGGAGAGCTCCCTCATTTCTGGTCCAGAACCGACACAGGTAGTTTCTGCTTTGCTGTCATCATTTTATTTCATGACCTGGGTTGTGGTGACACTTTTATTTACAGCATCATCAGTAAACAATACACTAACTAATGCCGCATGCTCCATTTTACAAGTGTAAAGTTGTAAAGTTTTCACGTGAAAACTTTTGTTGTTGTTGTTGTTGAGGGACTATATGGGGTGCTGGGTGTCAAACCCAGGTTGGCTGTGTGCAAGGCAGACACCCTCCCCTCTGTACTCTCTGGCCCCAAGCATTTGAGAATTTTAGCACAAGGTCAGAGAAAAACCATCTTGGGTTGTACAGGGAGAGGGGGGCGAGGGGGGTGTGTTGATTGTAGCATAGCTTCAAAGCATATAGAAAAAAATACGGTTGAAAGTTGAATGAAGATAAACTGAAATTGAACCCCTGTGCTAACCTTCTTTTTTTCTTGCTCTAATAAGGGGTTAATTTTTCCACCTTTGCAAACTCACTGTGTCGTTGTCATTGCCCGCACTTGCTTTATTTATTTATTTATTTATTTTATTTTTTGCTTTTTGGGTCACACCCGATGCACAGGGGTTATTCCTGGCTCATGCACTCAGGAATTACTCCTGGCGGTGCTCTGAGGACCATATGGGATGCTGGAAATCGAACCTGGGTCGGCTGCGTGCAAGGCAAACACCTTACCTGCTGTGCTATCACTCCAGCCCCCTGCACTTGCTTTATACAGTTGGACCTCACACTGTCTTTTACTTTGTTCTCTGCAATCTTTTGGTTACAGACATCACCACAATGTTTTCTTTCATTCATTCAGATGGGGCAGTTTTACTACTCGGCCAAGGCATTTGATGTGCTGGAGCGGCTGGATCCCAACCCTGAGTACTGGGAAGGCAAGCGGGGGGCCTGCGTGGGCATCTTCCAGATGATCTTGGCTGGGAGAGAACCCAAGTAAGTAAGCCCGTGAGGTGGCAGCTGCGCTCGCTCGTGAGGGGGAACGGAGGCTCTCTTAGGTGGCGTTGTCTTCTGGAAATTCAGTCATGATTATGTTTTGGAATAACGGACCAGGGCATTAGTACCGCGGGTAGGGCGCTTGCCTTGTTCGCAATCACTCAGGTTCCATCCTTGGCCTCTCATGGTCCCCGGTGCTCACCAGAAGCCAGGAGTAAGCCCTGAGCACTGCTGTGTGCGACCCCCAAACAAGCAAACAAACAGAACAGCAAATGGCGACAGAGAGGCAGCTCCGAGGAGAGATTGCATGCAGGCAGAGCGCGGGAGATTGCGTGCACAAGTTTCATCCCCAGAACCATAAATGCCTGAGACATATTTGGTGCCAAATAAATCGACTTTTTCTTTTTCAGTCTTTTTCAGTCTCTTTTCAGCCTCTTGGGTCTCTTTTTCCGTCTTCTCAGTCTCTTCTGTCCGTTCCTTGATGTTTGCTTGTGTGTTTCAGCTTGGGCCGTAAGGTGTTAGGAACGGAATGGGTCCCTGTCCTTTTTCGGGACAGTGCGTCACACAGGATGCTGCCCCCGGAAGGGGGAGAGGCCCGTGCTCTGCCTCCCTGCTCAGCACCCGCTCGGGTTCTTGTCTTTCTTTTCCTTTGTGGGAGCCACACTCAGAAGCTGAGGACCTGGGTTCACCTTGGCAGTGCTGAATGTGCCCACGACTGCTCACGGGGATTGTCAGTGGGGTGCTCTGGGGGTGCCAGGGGTGGTGGAGCTCAGGACTCTCATGGGAGACACACATGCTGGCCCACCCGCCCTCCTCCTGAGCGCTGGCCCCTCCATTCCTCCCTCTCTTCCTTCTTTCCTTCTGCCTTTCTTCCTTCCTACCTTCTTTTGTTTTTTTTTCTTTTTAAGGTCACACTCCGCAGTGCTCAGGGCTTACTCCTGCCTCTCTGCTCAGGCATCACTCCTGGCGGGGCTCGGGAAACCCTGTGTGGTGAACATGGGCCAGCCACATGCCAGGCAGGCACCTGGACCCCTGTCCTATCCCCCAGCCCTTATTTTCCTCACACCTTCTCACAGTCCAGGAACACAGGGACATTCGGTTACCTCCAGTATAGAGTCTTCTAGCTCCATTCATAACAATATCCAAATACTTAGAGCTGAAGCCAGGATCCTAAACAGAACCTCGTGGTTATTTCAGAAGGAAAGAACCTAGCAAAAATGACTTCCTGCCTTTAGTTGAAAATCACTTAATCGGTTTGATGAGCTGAAAGAGTTTGCGGGGGGTGGGGGGGTACGCAGCAGAAACTTTGAGAACGTTTAGGGAGGAGGAAGTCCAGGAGAGAGGAAGCTTTGGCATACTCCTCTTACAGTGTGGTGTAAGTCCCATTCAGCGTACGTTATTTCAGTACCGAGAACTTGTTGGATTGAGGTCCTTTACTCGCTCCCAGAGATCAAATATATTGTCTTTCTTGAAGAAATCATTGATTTCTATGGCTTTGTAAAAATGGCAGATACCCAGCTAAAGTGACATCACTTTTTTTTTGTTTGTTGTGTCACTCCTGGAGATGCACAGGGGTTACTCCTGGCTCGTGCATTCAGGAATTACCCCTGGCGGTGCCTGGGGGACCATATGGGATGCTGGGAATCGAACCTGGTCCTCCGAATACAAGGCAAACGCCCTACCTGCTGTGCTATCACTCCATCCCCAAGTGACATCACTTTGAACAAAGAAGAAGTCTGAGATGGAGCAACTGTAACAACTTTTTAGTCACATACAGAACTTGAACCAAGTTTTGTTTGTTTGGGGGCTCAGGGCTTACTCATGGCTCTATACTTGGGATCACTCCTGGCACGGCTCAGAAATGAAAATCTTGGAGCTGGAGCGAAAGCACAGCAGGCAGGGCGTTTTTCTTGCACACGGCCAAGCCGGGTTCAGTGCATGAGACAGGAGTATGCCCTGACCATCACTGGGTGTGACCCAAAAAGCAAAATTAAAAAAAAAAGAAATGGAAATGTTAATGTCATACTAGAGAGGAAAAAAAGACGGGTGTGTATATGTGAAAACAAAAATGTGGGAAGGATGCCATCAAATTTTCTATTTTTACTCTGGACAATAGACGAGAAGGCTAGGAAGTTGGTTGAATACGTGTTGAATACGTGTTGAGGGTTACCAAAATTGCCCCTCAGAGCAAAGAGCAGTTCCAGCTTTGCTGTTGCTCCTGTTGCTGCCCCAGCTGGAGGTGCTGCTGAGCCTGGGCCCTACAGGGTGCCTGGGGTCCCTGCCGTGCTGGGGGGCTCCAGCCCCGTGAGCCCGCTCCCCGCCACTTGTTAGCTTGTATTCCGTACTGAAACTCTGTCCTTTTCAACGTTGTCCTCAGAGAGACCCTCCGAGAAGTTCTGCATCTGCTGAGGAGCACGGGCCACACCCAGGTGGAATACATCATCCGGATCATGAAGAAGTGGGCCAAAGAGAACCGAGTGCCTGTCTAAAGGAGGCCCGGCCACGCCACAGCCTCTCCCTCGGGTCGAGTGAGATTCAGGGCTCCGACTTCTCATCCTTTCCCTTTCCTGTTTTTCAAGCCTCAAGATGGGTGACTGTTGCTGAGACTCAGGGTCTGAGCTTGGCACAGGACCACAGTCTGTGCATGGTCTGGGTGGGATCTGAGCAGCAATAAGGCCTCGGCCCTGCCTGGTGCTGTCTCCCAAAGACCCTCGAGAACTCCCACCCCACGCACTGACACTGAGAACCACATGGCTTCTCTCCCACCTCGGTTCTTCACCGAGACTCTTCACCTCGATGCTCTAGCGAATCGCCTCTTGTGCTCAAGAGGCACTGTCATCCTGTCCCCTCCCTGTTGGCCGCCCAGGAGAGGTCACAGAGAGGTGTGTGACGTGCCTTCGAGCCTCCGAGGGCAGGGGGGAGAGACAGCTTTGTGGTGGGGGAAGGCAGGAGCATCCTGTCATCAAACTGCCGGGCGTGAACAGGTCCCAGGCTTCCGGGGCTACTCTTGCAGTGACTGGACTCCTGATGCAGGCGGACCTGGAGAGTAGCACGAGGACTGCAGCTGGCCAGGGTGGCTGCTGTGAGAAACGGTCTGGGGGTGGACTTCGAGTCTCAGGAAGCAAGATATAAACCTCTTTAGTCCTATCTCCAGGATATTTTAGTCAAAAAAAGCATCAGTTTTGACAGGGAGAGACCAGGAAGATACGGGGCCACGATCCTGTGCTGTTGTCGGGACCATGCAGCCTGGGCCAAGGGGCCTCCTGTGACTGCTCGCGTTCCTGTGTTTCTGAGCTCTGACAACACACACGATTGAGCGTACAACAGCTTTTCCAAACAGAGACCCTTATGCCACACCACTGTGGCCCGTGTGATGCCCTTTCTAGTAGCTGGAGGCAGCCGGATACAGGTGTAGAGGGCGCAGGGTGGGCCGGCCCGCTGAGAACTCATAGCCAGGATTTCCTGAAGCACTGCAGGGTTCTGAGGAACACCGTCAGCCGCTCCACCGCACCCCAGCTTCCCCGCAGGGAAGAGACTGAGTAGAAGGGCCTCGCAGGCAGCACTCAGCCAGGAGAGACCCATGGGCACAGCCGCCTTGGCCTCCTGGTCTCCATCCGCAGGGGGAAAAGCCCGCAGTTTCTGTCTCTTGACTGGGACCGTGCCGATCAGCTCAGAGACGTGGGAAATAATCAGGTTTTAGAGAACGTTTTTTATTATGCCAAAGCTTCTGTTTCCTTTAACAGTTGGTTCTCAGCATTCAGCATCTACTATTCGGTGGACCAAATTGCTGTAATGATCTTTCTGTGACTCCTTACCTCACTTAAATTCCCAAAATTATCCAGCTGGGAAGAGACAGCCTAAGCTCCTCCGTGACTCTTGGCAGTGAAATTTCTCTGCCAGTTACTTGCTCTTCTTTTTGAACTCAATAACCTGCAAAGGCCTTTTTTCCATGGATGGTGACTTCACTCTCTTTGAATTTGACACTCCAGCTTCTGCCTGCTGTTTTCCTGTCTGTAGGAAGAAATAAGATATTCCAAAAGTAGCAATCCCGAGAATGGTAGAGTGTTTAAAAAAAAAAAAAAAGCTATAGTCCAGAATTGGGCCAAAAAGCTTAAGAAACTCTCATTTAGGAGGAACGCCAGCCCATTCTGTGTGAGAAAACTGATCCCTGCGGGCAGGATCCAGACGCCCGCCAGCCCAGTCCTGTTCAGCCTGAAACACCGCAGAGGGGACACCTCGCTGGCCAAGCAGCCTCGCACTGGCCAGTCTGGCAATGGGAAAAAACTTTACACTTATTTTTGTATTTTAAAAAGAAAGGTTGTATTGTATTGCACTATATTGGCATTTAAAGTTCCTTATTCTTGCAGTGCTGTGCTGAGTGTGCTGAGCCCAGTGTGAGAGAGGTTCTGCGTCTTCTCCCCTTTCCTTCCTTGCCACAGTGATGGGAAGAAAAATAGTTCAGGGGTTCACAGGGGCCCTAAAGCAGAGGGAATGACAGTCCTGTGGAGTCCGTCCTCGGGCAGGGGCAGTGGGAGGTGGGCTCTTCACTGTGTCCTGGGGCGTTCCAAAGACTCCCGCCACGCTCAGGGAAGCTTTCAGCTGACAGCAGCATGGACCTGGGCTTGGTCCAGGCTGGTACCCCATGACTGGGTTGCATTCGTTTTGTTTTGTTTTGAGAGAACATGTGAGTTTCAAAGGAATGGGCACACGGAACTTGAAACTTGAATGTTCAGTGCCCGAGAGCCGCCTCCCTGGGCCAGACAACATCAGCGAACTGGGAGACAGAGAAAACTGGGCCCGGGCTGGTCGGTAGTCGGTTTACTTCTCCTCCCTAGCGTAGCCCGACCTCTCCCTCTGGTGCAGTCATGGGTGTAGGTTTGGTCGGTTTGGTCGTAGTCTCAGTCATCATAGTTCCATCATCCTGGGCTCCTCGTGGACCTCAAAGTCCTCTACCTCATCACATTTTCGTCGTAGTCGCTTAGTCCTCTACTTCTAGTCATCTTCGTCACGAGTCCTCCTTCCTGTCCTCAAAGTTCCAGAGTCTCAGTTCTCCTCATCCTCTTTCTAGTCGTTGACTTTCTAGTCCCCTCTTACCCCTTACAAGCAAAGTTATATAGAAATCTTTTTTTTTCTTTTTCCATTTTTTATAATTTTATTTATTGAATCACCGTGAGAGCAGTTACAAAGCTTTCGGGTTAAGTCTCAGTTATACAATGAAACACCCGTACCTTCACCAGTGCCCATTCTCCACCACCAAAAATCCCAGTATACCCCCATCCCACACCCTCCCCCTGCCTGTGGGGCAGATGATTTCTACATTACTCTCTCTCTACTTTGATCACATTCACTATTTCGACACCAGACCCACCATTATTTAAGATTTTACCCCAACACTCAGATCTGCTGAAAAGGCAACAATAGACAATTTGTGTTCTATTGCTGGTTATGAATAACATATGATGTCGTGTGGCTGCAGTAGGGCCATGTGGTTTTGAAGTTCTGAAATTTTAACGCTTAAATCTGGAAGAATTTCTGCCAAGAGCCACTGGGTTTAGAGATCTGCTCCTGAGTCTCTGGGATCATGGTCGTTGAGCAGCTTGATGAGGAGCCAAAGAGGCCATTCGTGGGCGATGACTTGGGGTCTCATTGGGGTGGGGAAGACAGGCCCGGCTCCACCTCCCTCCCCATCCCGTGAGACCCAACAAGTTTCGTCACTGCGGGCCCAAGCCTGACTGTCCAATGGCCTCTGGAGGATGACAGCCACCAAGTCGCCAAGAGGGAGCAGGCGGAGGGACAGCACCCATTACCCCCTGGGGTGGCCGGTGACAGTAACCTACTGCGGGGTCCGGATGCATTTCTGCCAAACGCTGCTGGGTTTTGAGATTTGTTTCTGAGTCTATGGGATCATGGCCGTTAAGCCGCTTGATCAGGAGCCAGACAGGCCATTCGTGGGCGATGACTTGGGGTCTCGTTGGGGTGGGGAGGACAAGCCCGGCTCCACCCTCATCCCGTGAGGCCCTGTGTGTCTCGTCACTGGGGGCCCAAATGTGACTATCCAGTGGCCTCAGACGGATGGCAGCCACTGGGCCGCCAGGGGGAGTAGGCCAAGGCACGAAACCTATTCCCACCTGGGTTGGCCCAGCACCGGTAGCCTACTGCAGAGACCAGACTCATTTCTACCTAAAGCCGCTGGGTTCCGAGATTCATTTCTGAGTCTCTGGGATCATGTCCATTAAGCAGTTCAATCAGGAACCAAAGAGGCCTTGCCTCCAATTATGTAGCTGAGCCGGAGGTGGTTTGTGGGTGTGTTTCCCACATACCTAACTTTCGGCCGTTACTTTCTTGGTAAACTTTGCCCCAAGTTTTTGGGGTCTGGCCAAAGGCACAGCAGCAATTTTGGGGTATCTGGAAGTCTGAAGGAGCCATCAGGCTGCTGATGCACTCGCCTCACAGGTACAGATTGACCTGCTGGCGGCACCATACCCCCTATATAGAAATCTTGAAGGGTGGGATACACAAAGGTGGGGTTGAACATTATCATAACAACAAACAGATGTAAAGCCACTCCTTCAGGAGATGAACTCAAGGACAAAATCTCATCTGAGGGTTCAACACTCCAGATTACTAGGAGATCCGCTCAAGGGTGGGATTCCACCCAGGGTGTATTGCTTTCTCCTTTCCTCAGCTAGTAATTCATTTAAACAATCATAATAAATTTGCTTCTTATTTCTAGCAATGTCATTTTGTATGAACACAGTAAGAGATGTATTAAGCTTAAAGGTTGGCTCTTCCTGGAATATGTCTCGCGACATACTCCAGACCACAGTCCTCAGGCCAGGTTACTCTTTCCTAACCGCAGCAGGGTCTTTATTCAGCTACTTCTTTTTGGGTCATGACAGAGTTTGTTCCATAACTGTGCTCTTAACTTACTATATTTACAGTGCTTAGCTTGTCCCCTTTTGATGCCAGGGTAGCTTACAGCTTGCCCTGGTTCTATCAGTCCCTTGTCGGGACCCTGCTTTTGGAGTGCTAGGAATTAAGGGCAGCTTAAATCAAGGCTTGAATCAAGTAAATATGGATGCCCAGGAGTAAATATAATTTTGGAGTCAGTTAACTCCCATGTTACGAAGCATAGCATGAACTGTCTTCCTGTGTCTATACAAAAAGGACATTGCTAAATAAACCATGCAAACAACATAAAGGAAAAAGAAAAGCAATATAGGATTATTAGTGCTTGATGGAATTGGGTGTGCCTCAGAGGCACGGTTGTGGGAGTGGCTCAAACCTAAACTTCCTGGGGAGGAACAAGGACAACCCAGTGTTAATCTAACAGGGCCACACCCACTCTGGGCAAAAAGAAACTGGAGAGTTTCTCATCTCTTGAGCCCTCCAGGAGCGATCCCTGAGTGCAGAGCCAGGAATAACCTCCTGAGCACTGCTGGGTGTGGCCCCAAACAAACAAACAATTAAATAATTAGGCTTATCCATCTCTTTAATTTCTTCTATA